TAATTCAATGATGGGATTTGGACGAATTTGATCTCATTTCAAGAAGTGAGAAAATATATAGAGAATGACTGAAAAATCGTGACATTTCACTCTGCCAATTTCGATCTATTGAGAATGGAATCCCCTCCATTTTTCCGAGCTCACGGTTCGTGCACAAGTCAATACATCGAATTAAGACGTGGGTCCGTAACGACTCAGAAAAAAAGAGAGGCGGGAGGGCTCTCCCTGGATGGCTGAGCAAGAAATCGGAGGGTAAAAATTTGACAATTTAATGCTCAGTGAAGCCTCACCGGAAGTCACGGAGAGTGGAGGAAAAAACTACCCGTGAAATCCTTCGATAAACTTCGTGGGTAGTCCACTAAAACTTTTTACTCATTCCCCCTGTTCCCTTTTATTCACCTCTATTTACTCTTTCATAATTTGTTCAACATGCGTGATATCAGATCTGAATATTTAAATAGATAATTCAATTAATTAATTAGCAAATAAAATAGACAAGATGATTTAATGTTGATTACCGAAACGAAAATATTTTTTGTTTATAAAATAAAATAAAATGGAATAAAACAGTTGAATCAATTATCCATTAATAGTATTTTCAAGATAATTAACTACTGATTATGAATTTTCATTCATGATTCATTGAATTTATTAATTAACAAATAAAATAGGCAAGAGTATTTTTTTTCATTGAGACTATTTAATTTTGACTGTCGAAATGAAGATAAATGAACAGTATGGATTTGTTGTGAATGAAAAAATTAACTTAATCACTCATCAATAGTACTTTGAATATAAGTCAATTGTTTGACGACACGAAGCGTCAATATTCTGAAATATGAGGGGGAAACCGTAAATATCAAATAAAAAGTGAATCGATGAAATTACGAGTGGGGACACGGGAGAAATAAATTGACGATTGGCACGACACACATCACCCGGGCTGTATGGCCTGTGTCTTCAGTTATTGAGACGTCTTATAACTAAGGCCGGTTTGTTGGAATTTATAACCGTAAAAACGCGCTGGAGATGAAGGTTACAGGCACGTTCGAATGTTGAGAAAAAATGAAAAAAAGGGGGAGAGAGAGAGAGATGAGGGGATAAATGAAAATAAGTACATGACTCTGCGACAATTCCTCCTTTTATTGATTGTAAGAATCTCTATTAAATCCTTCAATAATTATGCCGTCATGATTGTACTGATGATTGGAATTACTGGGGGAGAAAAAAGTCATTGAGAAATTATAGAGCGTGAGTAATTTGTCGCAGGTGGATTACTTAGATAAATAATTAAGTTAAATTTCTTACGCTATTATTGCAATTTTTTATCTACTTATTCTTTTAGGAAGAAAAAAAATTATTTGAAAAATTGTAGAATATATTTCGACGTCTTAAATGAATAATAAGGAGAATTGACATTAATAAAAATATTTCTCCATTAAAAAAATCATATTCTCATATTCTGAATTGGAATTATGAATTTGCGACAATTCCCGTTTTTACTGATTGTAAGAATCTCCATTAAATCCTTCAATAATTATGCCGTCATGATTGTACTGATGATTGGAATTACTAGAGGAGAAAAAACTCATTGAGTAATTATAGACCGTGGGTAATTGGTTACAGGTATATTACTTTGATCAATAATTAAATTTAAATTGAAATAATAATGATGATTAATAATTGAGTTTAATTCTTACGCTATCATTACAACTTTTGTTTACTTATTCTTTTACAAATAAATAAAAATATATGAATACCAAATTTATAGAATAAATTTCGTCTTAAATAAATAATAAAAGAAGTGTACTAAGAAAAAAAAATCCATCAAACAAATCACATCCTCATATTTTAATTTGAAATTCAGCCTCTGCGACAATTTCTGCTGTCATTAATTGTAAGAACCTCCATTAAATCCTTTAATAATTATGTCGTCATGGTTGTCCTGATGATTGGAATTAGTGGAGGAGAAAAAACTCATTGAGAAATTATAGAGCGTGGGTAATTGGTTACAGATGGATTACTTTAATAAATAATTAATTTTAAATTCTCATGCTATAATTACAATTTTAATTTACTTATTTTTTTTATGAAGAAAAAAGAAAAAATTCTCAGATTTTGAACTGAAATTACGATTATGATAGTAAATCCGTTTGACATCATTTCAATTTTCTTTCAATTGTGTCACTTCAATCAGTTAAAAGTCTGTAATTCGCGAATAAATCAGCTATCCATTACCCACCCCAACCCCACGTAAAATCCAGCGGTGCACAAAACCAAATACACGAAAAAAAAACTGCGGCATTTCCCGTTTGATCTCCACATGACACTGAAGCACAGAGAAAAGGGGAGAAGACTTGAAATATCGTGGAACACACGAGACAGAGCGGTACACTAATTGCTAATCGCCCGGGGCTCAATCATCCCTGATGAAATAATTTCCCTATTCGAAAACCCCTTGCATCCACCCCCTCGAGCACTGATTCCCTCGTTCCCGTCATCTTCGGCTCGACGTAATTCTATTCATTATTGGAGGGGGTATAATACCACTTTAATTAACCGTAATCTCGTTGGAGATGTCAAAGCATAACGGGTGATCATCTTAAAAAGGTAATTATCAATAGGGGGAGTACAATTCTCATTATCTTTTCTATTTCTGTTCTCAATCGAAGAACAACAATTACATAATTTTCATTTTTCAATTTGAATAATTTTATAATAAAATAAATAAAATTTCAATTATGGAATTAAGAATTATGATAAAATCAATAATAATAAACAATAACTAATATTATTGTCAAATTATTATTATTGAATTAATTGTAATTGAATTGACTGCAGAATAAATTTCATTGAGCGGAAATTTTTGTGACTGTAAATAAAAAATATGTAATTTAAACTGCAACAACAATTCGCAATTCAACAATAATTTTTTATGGTATTAAATCCCTGGAGTTTAGAAAGCAGATAAGCCCTCAGTACCCTCTTCCCCTCCCCTCCCGACGAATGAATGAACTCATCAACCCCCGAAAAATGAAGAAACCAAATAACTTCATTCACAAATCCCCAAAAAAATCTCTCTCCCCTCGTTCCACGGAGACTCCAAAAAACAAGTGGAGTAGGGGGTGCCCCGGAGATAAATCACAATTCCCTTGAATCTCCACAAGGGGTGGAGGGGGGGTGTGGCTCCTCCTACTGGGCCACGTCACGTGACCCCAGACAGACGCCTCTCGACTATTCCTCGACGACTCGGGCACAGGGTGCGAGCGCATCCCCCGTCACCCCCATTCCCCGCTGAAATCTTCCCCCACCCCTATTTCCCACCCCCACCCCAAAACATCCCCCAAAAATTTCCCCCCGAAACCACAAATTTACAAAACCAAAAAAATAAATAAATAAATAAATAATCCAAATTCCAAAATTTTTAATTTCACGAGAATTAAATCGCTGTTTTTGTCTCATTTTTTGCTAAAAATTTTCTTTTTAAATCCAATAGTTGAGTGAATACCTCATCTATGCACGGTAACCGATGGTTCGTCCAGCGGATGCTGGCAAGATCGCTCGGAGGTGGAGTAAGAGGGCAAATAAAAGAGGAGAGAGAATGGAGAGACCTAATGGTGGTGGTGGTGAAGCGACGAATAGTGTTGACGAGAGAAGGGGGGATAAAGATTTAGTTCCTTGTTGCTCCTCAGCTGTGTATCTCTCCTTTCTCTCCCCCTGTAGGAAGGTGTATATCCCCCCCTTTTTCAAATGTGGTGAACGCCAACACTGGTGCGCACCGAGGGTTCCATCATAGACAGAGCGATTCTGCCTGACAGCTCGGGCCCAAACACCAAAGTGAATTCCTCATTTTCATTTGCCCGCTCGCTTTAACCCCACGTAATTACCGAGTGCCGATAGCGCATTTCAATTGATTAATTAAATAAAGTCAAGAGGCACGATTGACTCGAGAGGCTCCCAAGAGTCCTGGGAAAATAAAAATAATTAATTCATTAAATCAGGATGAGTTCAACGAGCAATTGATCTCACTACGATATTCACAATACGAGAGATCGGAATTATAAAAAATAATAATAATACGGAGTGAGGGGGAGGGGAATGAGAAAGAGAAGAAGGAGGTGGAGGAGGGAAGGAACGAGAGAGGAAGAAAAAACAAGGCGTTAAGGTGGAGAGAAAGTGGTGGTGGTGTTCCGAGTGCTGAGGTTTTTGGTGGTGTGAGGTGAGGAAAGGTACAAGCCTGGGGAAAAACGGGGTACATTTTGGTTAAAGAGAGGAGGTACGAGCATTCGTCGTAGCCAAGCATCGCTCTTTTTCCTTATTTTTCAATATTTTTCTTGACACTTGAGGTGAGACACCGGAAGTTGCGTGTTAATTCTCCGTAGAACGAGATAAAATTACTGTGAAGAGATAAATAACGGAGTGAAGTGTCAGTTGATGTCTAGTGGACAGTAAAAATTGAGTGAAATTTTTTGAATGAAGTGAAGGGGATTTTTTTCATCTCACTGTGACAATAATTAGGGGCGAGAATAAGGAGAATTGGCAGGTTTTCTCGTGACAGTAATTGAATAATTGAGACGGCAGAGTTGTCTCGTCGCGGGGGGTTCGGGTGGGGGGGACGGGGATTATTATTTTTAATTCGGAAAAAGCTCTCGTTTGTTGGGTGAATCCAGTGCTTCGGTGGATGCAGATTGCACCGTGGGCCGTCTCTCGAAGCCCGTTGACGTACGTCAAAGCAGAAGCGCCGGTGCCCGAGGGCGAGCAGTCCTCGACGCGTGCCGCGCCGCTGATCAGAGAGAACCGCCGTCTACTCTGTAACGTCGTCAGCACGTCCGTACAGTGGTTAGAAAAGCTCTGAAAGGACCCTACAGACATACAGCGCGCGATTGTTTTTCCCCAGGACTCGAGTGAATTCACGGGTTTTTTTTTGTTTGGGGTACGGTGAGGGGTAACGATTTTTGGGAGGTTTTTGTGGGGGTGTGCGGGGTCATCGGCGGGGAAATTCGGTGGATTGACGAGAGGACCGAGAGGACGGGAGAGGCAATGACAGGATGCCTCCGAGTCGTACGTGTGTCCCGAAAAAATCGAGGATCGGCTTCAATAGATTGGCAACTGCGTTACTGGTGCTGGTGGTTTTTGTCGAACGGAGACGGTGAGTGCTGTGGGGGGAGAGGGTTATTTAGGATTAATTGGTAGTGGGGGGATTTTGATTACTGCACTGCAGCGAGAAAACGCTAGAGAAAATCACGGAACAAATCAAGGAATTGTGGAGCGAACTCGATTTTCAGTATTTTTCCAGCTGATGTCGGAAAAAGCGCGAGACGAATAGGGAATTTTTCTCCGATGGCCCGCGAATATTTACTGAACGGGAGGATAATTTGTCCCGACACCGTAAAATTTACCCGGCATTCCATCAAAAATTATCCCGATGAGTATGAATAATTGCTCAACATTGTGTATAATTTTTCTGTAACGGAAAATGATTTTTACCGAAAGCATTTGGTGAAATTTCACTTGCATTCGTCGCCATGACCTTCAGTGTGGGAAATTTTGCTGTACAAGAGGATAATTTTTGCATCCATAGATGTTTTTTTATACCAAACGAATCGTAAAATATCCTCTATCGCGAAAATTCATTCAGGGAGGAGTAATGAAAAAAATTAGCCGAATATTTTTTATGAAGTTTCCAGTGCACACCTTGAAAATTTTCAACTCATTGAAGTTTCAATGAAAATTCGACGAATTTTGTCTTTAAAAATTCACAATTCAATGAAAAATTCGATAGAAATTGTCAATTTCAGTTTAATTATTCAGTGAAAATTAATAGAAATCAAAAAAATTATGAAGGGTCACAAGGTTCCACTAATTTTACGGTAAACATAAGAATAAATGCTGAATTTTCTGTCATATATCTCCATTTTTCCGAAATAAGGGGAAATGTGTGCGTTAAGGCTGTCAATAGTCACTCCTATGATTCCATATTTCATAAATAATTTGACATAAATATTCAGTAAAAAATGGTCCATTCGTTGTGAATTTTCGTTGAAAACCTGAAGATTCGGAGAATGGTCTTGAAATTTCATAACGAAATTCCACTACTTCGAATAAAAATTTAAATGGAATCAACATTGCACACGAAAGATTCATCAAGTCCTCGAACAAATCTTTTGAACATAAAATAAATCTCGAAGCAAAAAATAAAAATGAGAAATATTTTCACAATAAATTTCCCAAAAACACTAATTTTCCTCTGCATTTTCAAATCCACCGGGGCGAAACGGGTTGTTTATCTATTGATTTTTACACGAAAAAAGCAATCCTTTGTTTCAAGTTACAAATTTGAAAATTTACCTTCTGCATTCAATTTCAATTAATTTACATTTTTTCCTCTTCAACTGTTGCGTTTCCTTCTAATTACTCTAAGTGGCAGTTAAAGTAGGAAATCTAGCGGATGTTTCGGTCATTAAAACTGTCGGCCGACGGTGGGAAACCCAGTCAATAAATTACCTCACATGATGATGAAATTGTAAAGCCGAATGAAACTGAAATTTCCCTAATCTTCAATACGATTCCACATGGAGAAAAAAGCTGGAGAAAAATGGCTAAACAAGTCTAGTAATCGTGGAGTAAAAATCCTCTTTAGGTCGGTGCTGAAAGACTATATATTCCACGTCAGGATATTTGATGAAGTAGAACAGATTTACTTGAGAAAATCTAACTAAACCTAACTAAACTAAATTAACTAAATTTTCGTCGTGAACGTCCGAAATATTCCTAGAAGAATTCGAATTGTTGACACATTATTAAAAAAAAAAATTCATTTGATTATTAATTTTCAGGACAGTAACACTGAATGCGATTTAGGGGAAAAAAATCCTGAAATTTCAGGTTTCACTGAAAATTCTGTAAAATTCCAGACTTTTAATCCGCATAAAAACGAGGATTCCCTAATTCATTTCAATTTCCAATCTAATATGAATATTCAGTGCCAAATTATATTGAATTTTCAGTGAATTCTGAAATTTCATGATTTTTTCCCCCTAAATCGCATTCAGTGTCACTGTCCTGAAAATTCAAGAATATCCTTACCGGAATTTTCTGGTTTTCTATTCATATTCAGAAAATTTACAGTTCTCTTTGATTTTTCCATGAAATTCTGAATTTTCAATGACGTAATTCCTTGAAATATCACTGGTAACCAAATTCGATAAAAATTTCCAAAAAGTGTACCGGAAATTTCAGACAAAAGTGTTCAACAGAGCAGGAAAAAAAATAATCCACTGTACAAAATATCTCTTTACGGGAACAAATAATTATTCGGCAGAACAAATTTTTTCTCTCATTGAAACTTCCCTGCATTCCCCCGGTGATCGAAGAACGAGAGAATTGCTATCGCTTCATTAGCTGACGTTTTTGTCCACCGATAATAACGAAAACCCTCGGAATGACGTCGTTCAATTATGAGGGCCTGAAGCAGCGTTATAAATAATCTCAAAGGCACATCATAAGTTGAGACACGTATGCCCTCCCAGGAGACGACGTTTGAACAACTCGAACGATGAGATAATGACGTTATAAACTCGTTCACGATGTGATGGTCGTTTACAGACACTTGGCAGGATTAATCATAATCACGTACACTATCCCTGCGTGATGCATACCAGTTTTCTCAGTATTTCAGTTGGGTATTTCGTAACGCTGATCAGCGTCTCAATTTAAACAAACGGAATATTATTTGCGTTGAGACCAGGATCATCAGAAACGATTTCATCATCGTCTCCTGGAATAAGCAGGGAAATTTCCGATCTGGAACACTTTTCAGAGGACTATTCCGCTCCATTAATTTCCGCGGTACAAAATGGAATTTTTTCACACAGAGCAAAGTTTTCGAGCTGATTTAATTTGAATTGAATTGAAGAAGTGAATAAAATTGAGTTTTTCATTTCATTAAATTTAATTTGAGCAGAGATTGTTGGAAAGTAAAATTTCAATTCTTGTGAACAATGTGTAAAAATCTACCCTAAATTATATATTTCCACTGGAAGAATATTGCAAGAAAGCAATAAGTCTTGCAAAAATCACAGTATTGTTGAGGAATGTTCGCCTCAAATGTTGTAATTGCCACTAGAGTGATTGAAATTCTGGGAAATTTTCATCACATTAAAGTTCCATTCGAATTTCAAGGAATTTCGTGCTTGAAAATTCAAAATTTTACTAAGAAATCAGTGAAATTGGACAAAACTATAAATTTCAGAGGAATTATTCTATGAAAATTGACAAAAATCAGGAGAATTCCAATTAATTGAAAATTCTGCATAATTTTCTTTGGAATATTCATGTTTTTATTGAAAATTCAATCAATTCGGTGAATTCTCCTGATCCTGCTGCCCAAAAAGTCAGAATTTCATTGAATTTTCGTTTTTCTGAGAATTACTATCCAACTATCCATGAAATCTCAATTTTCCCCAACAAACTAGACTCCCGCTGAAAAATCCTGAAATTCCACGACAATTTTTCAATCCAAAAAGTTGGAAAAAATTGTCAACCTGAGAAATCGACGTTTCAGTTTCTCAGAAACCCCTGGGGTAGAATGACGTTGTGACCAAGGTCCCGGCCCGGAAAATTTCCGATTCCATCCGTGAAAAATTCTCCGTAAAAAAAATCCCCTGGGAAATCATTATCATCGAACTCGACAGATATCTCAACTCCTCGACTTTTTTATGATCCCAATAAATTCCAAACCGTGCGGACAAGTCACATGCTCCAGCATCATGTACCTTCATTCACAAGTTACTAATTCGATTGGTGGAAAGTGTCATGCGCGCCTGCACGACAATTTATCGTAATGAATTTTTGTTTTTCCTCTTCCATTTGAGTTGTTTTTTAATCCCGCAAAACCACTGTTTTGCCTCCATCTGGTTGAATAGCAGAAGGGTATTCCCCCATTAAAAGCTAAATTCCATTCCGTGTTTCTCCTCATCTTGGTGGCTTGTCCGAAAAATAAAAGAGAAAGGTGGAACACCAAAGGGGGTAAATAAAATACATCGGAACTTTGTCAATGTGTTTTAATGTGTGCATGTGGCCAGTCAACGGTGGAAGTCTCTGAGACACCACTCGACTCTGACCAATCCGCCATGTTGGATTCTTTTGCGACCTCTTGGATTATTACAAAAATGCGGGACATGCACGATAGCGTTCCTTACTGTCCCGCTCCATCTCCTCTCCTGCACGAGAGCATTTACTCTTTTTTTCTTCTTCAATGTTTATTTATCTTACTTTACGTCATGAACTCGATATACGGGAGGGAAAATGTTGCGCTCGATGCATTAAATATTGCGAAATTGTTGGAGACCATTTTTTTAGTCAATAATACTTTGCAGTTGACTCTTTTTGTTTGAAACGGGCGGTTGAGTTTAAAAAAAATCAAAAATATGAATATTTAGTTGCAAATTACGCTGAATTTTCCAAATTTCTAATTGTTTCGATGGAATAATCGACGTAAAATTGACAGTTTCCACTGACTTTTCCCCGAAATTGTTAATTTTCAATGATGAAATTCCTTGAAATGTCATTACAACTGTCACTCAATAAAAATTTCCGAGCAGTGTACCATATATCCGCTAAAAATATCGAACCCTGAAATCCTTAAATGCAAAAACTGTCTCATCAGTACTAAACCTTCCCTGTTCACAAAAATACTTTGATTCACTGAATCCAACTTGAAAAAAAATCGTGTCATTGGTTCCGAATAGCATCAAAAAGAGTTCGTTACCCTCAGTCTCACTTCAACCCTTCAAACCCCGAACTCCCAGTAATTACTCATCATCCAAATCCCCGTAACCCCGACACCCACCCCGCGCCACGTGCCGAGGACACTGGGGTGTCTCCAAACCGCCAACGAACCGATAAAGAATTGAAAAAAAGACGACGACAGAGGGGAAAAAATGAAGCTCGCAGAGCCCGAGCGCAATACAACACCGAAATGGTCACTTTAAGATGCGATTTTCTGGCCTCCGCGATGTAAAACGATCAGTCAGATGCAAAAACACGAGAGACCCGGCGAACGTGTTCGGTATACCGTACCGGGCAATTTGTTGACCCTACTTTGGCTCATTAATCTGTTACCGTTAGATCATCAATAGTGCGAAAGATAGCCTCGCGGACTACGTTGTACGGACTAATGGAAGCTCTCAATAATCCCGCGGGCGAGGGCAGACGCGCACGACCCGATCCTTTATTTGTCTCATTCTCCCGTGTTTTTGGTCCTTTATTCATCTCCAGGTGCTTCCTATCAACGACAAATTGAATGCATTTGTGCGGGGGAGGAGACAATTTTTCAATTGACGAAATTACTCGCTATTCGGGACGGGAGTTGGGTTGTCATGGGGAGAATGACAACCTGTTTTGCCCCTGAAGTTTACGAAATGCTGAATTTTCTTGTGGGAGAGATGTTTGAGAATGTGTCGGGGAGAATGAACGGTTTTTTTATTAAATGCAGTGAATAGAATGAATAAAATTAATGAATTAATGCGCCTCTCAATTTTTCGTGATGTCAGTTCTGATGTTTTCCTCATACAGATAAAAAATTAGGTCTGTTGAAAAACTGTATGTTGATGGAGTGGATTTACTTGAGGGAAATTAACCAATTTGATAGAATTTCAATTTTTAGTATTGCGAATTTTAATGAAGTTGAAGATTAAATTGCTCACGGAATTTTTTATGTTTTGGAAATTCAACGAAATTGAGTTTCTCATGATCGGCGATGACTGGTATCTCAATGACGGCTTCAATTCTCAAACTCAGTAAAACACTGTTCGGCATTTGTTGACATTCAAGCAACAGATACATATGACTTAAATTAAATCCGCAAAAATCCATAAAAAGAATAGGGAATATTCTCTGAAGTTCAAAATTCCGTAATCTCCCACCCCCTAAATCAAATTCAACTTTAATGAAAATTAGAAAATTTACTACTGGAGAAAGATTGATGAAATAATTAAAAAATTGCAATTTAAAAAAATTGCAAGCATTTTTTATAAATAATTTATACACAATCAATTTTTCATCATAAAAATCATGTAAGCAATTTCAGTTATTTATTTATAAACAACGAATGTTTAAAAAAATAATAATCTGTGGAAAATGTTTTCTCAGGCAATTAATTGACAAATTTTATTGAAAATAATTTAAAAAAAATATTGTCCTCATGTTTATGTTGCAGTGCATCAAGCCTGATGAGTAATTCAGTAGACGATTGGGTGAGTGGTAGTGCAGTTATTTGCAATGGTATACCAGGCCTTACCAAAGAGCAGAGGGATCTGTGTTACGTTAGTCCAGACGTTACAGTTGCCGCACTCAAGGGCCTACAAATGGCTATTGCCGAGTGTCAGCATCAGTTTACCTGGCACAGATGGAATTGTTCATCCCTCACTGCCAGCAGTAGAACACAGAAGAGCAGTGTTTTGCTGCAGCGAGGTGAGTGTACACCCATCAACTATTCTCCCACATTTCTTTTCAACTCGCTCTTATTTACCTCGAATTTTTGGCGTCAACCCCAAAAGCGGAAACATTTATATTGCGACGAGGACAACTGTTGAAACAAGTATAGGTAGTGCGTCAGGTTTGAGACCAGCTCTCAGCGCGCACCTGACCTGAAACTATAAAGAGACCAGCATCCGTCTGTTATGCAGTTGGATGTGATGTGTCAGAGCCGCATTATCTCCGCCTCATGATCACACATACCGTGTCCCACTACCACGTCTCTTTGTCTTTTATTTATTTCAGTTGTAATTTTTTTTTCTCATATTTCTTTCGGAGAAGTCGGCGATGACAATTTCACAAATTTTCATGATAAATTTAAAAAATTACCTGTCCTGCCCCGATATTTTTTAACTCACTAAAAATAACTTTTACATTTTTTCAAACTAATTTTCGAACAAAGCTATTTTGCCCCATCAGAGAATTTGAATTGTGAAAACGAAATTACTCCCCTAGAATTTTTCACCTTTTTATTGGATTTCAGATTTTTTTTTACATTTCTGTCGTAAAATTCAATACAGCAACAGCGACGATTTCGAAATTTTTGTACTAAATTTGAAAAAAGACCCGTTTTGTCCCAGTATTTATAATTTCTAAAAAAACAATTTTTTTTATTTCAAAATAATTTCTGAAATTTCTCCAGGACGATTTATGCAAAATGAATCTCCACTAAAAACAAACCCGTTCTGCCCCTCAAAGAACAGAATTTCGTTTGTTAAATCTCCCACGAAATCAATCAAATCCCAAGAATTTCCGAAATTAAACCATTAAGATGTCAAGCAAGTTGCGTAAACACATTTGCCAATGCCTCCACCAAATCCCCAATCCCAAATACTTCAGATTAAAATCTGAATAATGGTCATATTGATTGAATCTCCATCGATAATTCACCGTTAAAAAATAATCGAGGCCCTTAAAAACAATTTTTCCGGTATTGACCGCAGGTAGATGTCGAAAACTCCCGAGAATCCCACGATAATTCATACAATCCCGAAACCGTCGAGAATAAAAATTATGAAAAAAAAAAAAAAAAAGAACAACTAAATAAATGGAAATATAAAAGGCCTCCCGTTGACCGCGTGTTGCATCGCGCGTCAGTGTCAGAGTCACGGTCAATTCGAGAAAGGATACCGTGACAGACGGTTTAAACAGCCCCCGAGTGCCGTTGGCCTGGCCTCAAACCGAGTACGAGAAAAACTACTGACAGGTGATACATAGTGTACATAAATATACATGTAGATGTGAGGCGTCTAAAATCGACACGCCTGGAACCTTTCAACTATTATAAACCGTAACAGGACTTGCACATCACTACGCACTTTTCAAGCGAGAGAAAGAGAGAGAGAGAAAAAAAAAGTCCCATCTCGAGAAGGACTGGAAGGCGACGAGAGAGGAAAAAGTCGCGCTTCTGAAAACGTTTGAGGATGGAAACAAAGAGAGAGGTGGCTCTCGTTTTCTCTATTCCCCTCTATCCTTCCTTCGACGCATCGATTTTCTAACCATATCCCCCTTGAAGACCGTGCAACTCCTGGAGACATACAACTGCAACCTGGAGGATTTATTACGACTCCCCCTATGTGTCTGCGCTTCTGTTCGCTGAGGCCTATCTGCATTATAAAACAGTTGCTTCAACAATGATGTGTTGAAAGAAATCTGGGAGAACTACATTTTCTTAAATGAGGAATGCTGAAGCTTCAGTTGAAGGACAATATTGGAAAGAATAATCTAATCTTTATGAAAACGATTGTCGAGAAGACAAAAATTTAATTTTTAATTTGCGGCTCCCAAGCCTCTTCGCAATGATAGAAACAAACATTCCTTCAAGAATTTCTTTTCCCTGAAATCTTTTCAGACCTCCATCACACCATTAAAAATCCTGAAAAGTTCCCCAAGTTTTCTTCAAATTCCTTTAAATCTCAATCTCATCATTTCACTCCTAGAAATCAGTTTTTCTCCTCGCGTCCTCCCAAAAATACTTCCCAATAAACAACTCACAACCCAGGACAACAACCTGAAACCCCTCGTGCCATGAATCTCGCACGTACCTACCGAGTGTCACCCAGGACTGTTCTCGAATCGCTTTCTGTCAATGTACCTTTTTTTCATGCCATCACGAATTGCCAATTCAGTCCTCTCCCCCAGCATTTCTCCAAACTGAGTTGAGAAAAGGGGACCCCTGTCGGGATTATATCACTTATACATTCGGCAAAAGAGACTGGAGACATCCACCCGAGTCCGTAACAATCCGACGGTCGAATCACTCGATTTTGACCGGTCCCTCTCCCGACTCCCCCTCCGCCTCATTGTTTTGACGAAAACCCACCTTATTCCCTTCAATTCCCTCGATCGCCAACCTCTCCCTCTTTCTTCATTTAGCAAACCCACCAGGAGGGAACACCACAAAGAGACAGTGATTTCCTTCTACGGTGTCCCCCTCTGCATATCCAAAAGAAGTCAATGTCACCAGGATCTCCTCGCTCCACCTGAATTGTATCGACTGATATTTTCGTTCAAGCCTTCAAAGTCGTGGACGTTTTTCCCCTGGCATTTTATCTTCAAACGCTTTTCAACATTGGTCCACGTATCAATCCAAGCGGATACGACTTGGCAATTTGCTACCAACTCAGTCACTCCTCATTATTCTTCGTCTTGTGTCTTTTCAACTGCTCCTGGATTTCACTGGTGCTTCCTTCGGATTTGTGGATTGGCGATTCGATTGCGAGTGAATGAGGCAGAACACGGTCTCGGGCTTTTCAACTCGCCTAATTGACAGTCATATTGCTGATAGAGATTGGATTACCAATTTTGTTGTTTAGAAGGGCATGTCGAGAGCTATCAAGGACTTTAGACCTTAACTTTGGACCAAATGCTTCAAACGCTTTCCAATATTGGTCCACGTATTAATCCAAGCGGATACGACTTGGCAATTTGCTACCAACTCCGTCACTCCTCATTATTCTTCGTCTTGTGTCTTTTCAACTGCTCCTGGATTTCACTGGTGATTCCTTTGGATTTGTGGATTGGCGATTCGATTGCGATTGAATGAGACAGAACACTGTCTCGGGCTTTTCAACTTGCCTAATTGACAGTCGTATTGCTGATAGAGATTGGATTACCAGTTTTGTTGTTTAGAAGGGCACGCTATCCTGACGATCCGATGAGGAATTGATCCAATCAATTGCATTAATTATGTTTCAGGATACAGAGAGACGGCTTTTGCTTACGCAATATCAGCAGCTGGTGTCGCCCATTCGGTCGCAAGGGCTTGCAGCATGGGACGTCTCATCTCCTGCGGGTGTGATCCATCCAGCTACACCGGTAGAACCCCAGCCAAGGCACGTGGTACCCACTGGAAATGGGGTGGTTGCTCCCACAATCTCGAATACGGAATGGAATTTTCCCGGCAATTCCTGGATTCACGGGAGAAGGCCGGCGACATTCAGTCCACGGTTAATCTCCACAATAATCAAGCTGGACGTTTGGTAATTTATTTTTTATCTCTCGATTCTCGCATGGTTCATGTCTTTGTTTTGGCTCTGTATGCATGTGTGCCGAGTGAATGAGGGGGGGAAAAAAGGAGAGGAGGAGTTCCCCTTACGTTCAACCACTCGCCTCGACGTTATTAAGACGAAGCCTCGGGCTGGACCACCCAACCATAGACTCATTAACTGTTTTGTACGCGACACCTCTTTGTCTAGAGGTTACCCACGGAATCGGTGGTGTTTAAGATTCTTGGGTGAATGTTGAATATTTCTGGGCTTCTCTGGTGATAAAATAGCATTTAGATTTATCCTGATTCGTTGAATTTCGAAGTATTTACGTGATACTCAGAGGTGGTTGGCATTTTTAGTAAGCTCGCTTGAATTTAAAGATGAAAAATCCGCAAAATTCTTGTGCAACTGGGGGTTATATAGCGAGCATGGAAGGCCTGTGAGGGTTACGCGAACTGCAATAAAAAATTGAGAAAAAAATGATTCATCATAATGAAATATTCTAAAGAAAGAAAATCATTTCCTTCTGTTCCAGGCCCTCGCAAACAACATGCAAATCCGTTGCAAATGCCACGGAATGTCCGGCTCGTGCGAGCTGAAAACCTGCTGGAAAGTGGCCCCCGATTTTCGACAAGTAGGAAAAACCCTGAAAGACCGTTTTCGCGGTGCAATACTCGTTGCCCAAAGCAACCTAGGGAGTGTAACACCATTAACAAGGATACGTGGCTCGCGCCGACGGCGTCCCGATCGTCGTGGCCAGAAGAAATTTCGTCCTGGGCGTGACAACAACAGTGGTAGCAAGAAGAAAAAAACCCCGGGCTTGGCGAAACAGCTTTTCTACTATCAGAAGTCACCAAACTTCTGCGAGAGGGATCCTTATCAGGATATACCTGGTACTGCTGGCCGCAGGTGCAACAGGACCAGTCCAGGGGGTGATGGATGTGCGTCATTGTGCTGTGGACGTGGCTACAATGTCGTTAGACAGAGGAGAATCGAGAGATGCCGATGCAAGTTTCACTGGTGCTGCGTTGTACAGTGTCAAAATTGCACAGTCGAAGAGTGGATAACTGTATGCAAGTGAACTATTTATTGATGGCACGGAGAGAGAGAGAAAAAAATTACGGGATTAATTTTAATTACTGTAAATGGCCATTTCACTACATTCCGTTTGTGATTATTTCCTTTGGACGCAAGTGTAAAAATGTATTTTATTAGATTAACGAATTTTTATCCCTCGATTTTTTCTCTCTGTGCAGAATTATAATTATTTTATTTTTATTTAGGGGGGGATATTTGTTGAATTGATTTGAAACGTTGATTTTTTTTTGATTGATGAAGCTCCCAGTGACTAATTTATTGATCCATAATTGTGTAAAGAAATCATTGAACGAGAGAACAAATATTTCATCGATATTCTCCGGTTATTATCGTGAATGAAAAGGTTAAACATTGATAATCGTCTGCATACAATTCGCATGGCTTTAATATTCTGTATCTATAAAGAATTATCCACAATCATGGGAACACGAACTAGTAATTGAATCGTGGTATTTTAATTTATTTTCTAGGTTTACGCGTAACGCTGTAACTTATATTATTTAATTATTATTGTATTAATTTAATGAAAATTGAAGGAACAAACTCTCAACTGTAACACCTCTACCGCAGTATTATTAGCAGAGTTAATGGAAAAAAATCAGATCATCGAGGAAAGAAAAAATGAAAAATAAACAATAAAAAATCAAATTCAGTAAAAAACGGCTTGAAGTTTTTTTTACCGGTCCCATTTTACGAGATCTTATCACATAACTGGAACTTTCACCTGAAGTTCTAATCACTTTTTTAAATTTATTGAAGAATTTCTTGAATTGCGAATTGCAGTGAATAAAATTCACAATTCCTTATTTTCTCCTGGGTGTGGTATAATAATCAAAAACCAGGAAGTTGACAGTCCTCGACCTCTTCTCGCTCGTGAGAAGATTTTCAGATTGATCGTAAGACACAACAGTAAACTGAGAAATCCCCCAGGAAAGTAAGAAACTCAGCAAGAAGATTTCAACGTTGAATCTCTACGAGTACGACCGAGTTAACGTTGAAGATCAGTTGTTGGAGTATGTGTTGCACATAATCGCTGAGTCGCAAGGCGGCGAGTCCTTTGACGCGACAACACCACGCGTCTACCGAGAAGAAGAAGAAGCTGCGATAAAACGCATTAATTTATAGCTAAATGCAATAGTGTCGGTAAGAGATATCTCTCCCTTGTGGAAAAGCCCATCGATCCGGTCAATGAGATTAGAGGCTCGTTGGGCATATCATTTGTTGCTGTTTTTCTTTTGAGACAGTTCCCACTAGTAAAGATCGGAGTATGTTCAATGGGTTCGCGATTAGTTGAATTGAATGATCTCGGACAATTCTGTTGGAAAAAAAATTGAAATTTCGTGGACAGTTGAGTAGTCATTTGCAGGGCGGTCGCATTGAATTTAATATCTTCGTGTTTTTTTTAATAAGAATGTTCAATGGGAAATATTGTGTAGAAAAATCTATTCAAATGCTTCCAGTTTTTTTTGTTTGATTTTTTTTGAGGAAAAAATAAGAAAAATAGAATGGAAAAAACATGGAAAATTCATGTCGAGGAATTTCTATAGAAAACGGTGTGCAGACATGAAATTCTATTATTTTTTATAATAAAATAGTTCTTATTGGACATTTTCTATGAAAACTGCAAAATAGTCGGTCGGAAACTAATCAAATGTTCAATAGATGTTCAATAGAATGAGTAATTAAATTCGTTAGTATTTTATATGAAATTTCAAATGCGTTCAAATCCTGATACTTTGGATTATCCAAACCGCCTGAATGTTAATCTGTTGTACTCAATACTGAAAGCAAATCCAAAGACACTCGTACAAGTTTATTAGGACGAGCGTTAGTCCACCGATGGATATCCCCCACTCTCGGCATGAAAATCCATTTAACAGGATTCAGACCTACCCCACCCAACAAATCAGAGAATACTCTTCATTTTCTCCATCCCACCCCACCCGAAATCGATAATCGCAATAAATTATTTCATCGGTTTCTGTATTAATTATTTCATCGATTTCAATCGTAAGAAATTATTTCAAGAGATGTTCTGTCACGTTGAATCAATTTAACTTGTGGACAAAAAAAGAAAGTTTCCACCAAAACATGATAATTTTCGTGGTAGTAATTGTTCTCGTGAGACATTTATATGTTTTTCGGGTAAATACATTCAATCTGCAGAAAATTATATGAGTCACTTATAATTCCCATGGAACAAATGATAATTTCAAGAGGAAACTAGAATTTTCTGTCGAATACTGTGTGATTTTGGCAAAACTAAACAATTTTAAGGGGATAATTTTTTTTTAAACCTACATAGTTCCACAGGTATAAACTTATGGAGTTCTCTCCGATAAAATGCTTGCCGTACAACAGATTATATTTTTTCCTGCCAACAGTCCGAATTCTTCTAGAGATATATCTGATGATCACGACAAAATTTAATTTCAAGTATTGAGCTAATTTTTCTCTCAGTGTGAGATCTCCAGAATCGACTCCATTTTCACAAAAGTCGAAGGTAAAATGAAATAACGAAGTGCATGAAGACGCAGCAAGTGCTTTGAGACTGGAATCAATGAGCTAACAGGCTTGGGAGTTAGTTAATTAAGTCGAACTTATTGGATCAACGAAGCCAATGCGTCCCTCACTCCATGGCTGGCCTCTGGCACCTCTCCTCACAACTCACAAGTAATAACGATTTTTCATCGTTGGGTAGTTGGATTGTTACCCAGCAGTAGCTAGTCTACCACTCCTCTCGAGGGTTGGAAAAACGTGTAGTGTTGCTCCTACGTCGTGGATAGAGGGCTTTCGCCTGCCTCTGGGGATCTAAGGTACCTCAATTGCCCAGACGGGTTAATTAAACGTGAGTTTTGTTATTTTTTTATTACCTCACTTGGGTATTTTTAGCTTTGTGATGTCATACGAGGAAAATTTTTGAAACAATGCGATGCCGGAGAGAAGTCGATATGAAGCGACGCGTTGAAGCCAAAATAGTTGTTACTATTGGATGTTAGGGGATGGATACAAATTTATTGAGATTTTTTATTTCGTGCTAGTGGAAGAAAATTAAAATTCCAGGGACAATTGACTCGTGAATCATGAAAATTCAACGAAATCCTAAATCGTTGAGCAGCAGGAAAATAAGAATTTCTCTATTTACTTGCATTTTCAATAAATTTGAAATTCAAGAATATATTTAGCTGAATTGTGATGATTTCCATCATTTTTCATTGAATTATTCAACTGAAATTGACAGCTTCCATTGATTTTTGATAGAATTCCTTGAAATTTGAGTGAAACGATAATATCACAAAATTTTCAAAAACATGTAGGGGAAATGTCACAAAAAATTCTCATTCCTTGAAATTTTCTGCTACTGCAGTCGAATTTTGTTGTTTTATTTTCAAAAACTTTAATTAGAAAATTCAGTCAAAAATGACAAACAACGTCAATTCGTCTTCTCACACTAAATATTTTCTTTTAAACCAATGAATGCTCACCTTCTGCCCCATTGAGCTGCACCAGAGCACATAACACCCAAGATAGCACTCCACAAAACAACGAAACACTTCAATCACCCGTAAAATTCCCTCCCCAAACCCCGAAGTCCATCACAAAATAGTTCTTGCCCATAAAATATGACAACCCAACTGTTCCTGATGGCTCCTCATCCCCGACTGCCACTCATCATCCCCCATCCCACAAAAACCCAGCAAATATTTCTCGAAAAGTCGCAAAGATCCCCAAAAATAAACTAGTCGCCTTAACTCCATGCAAATGTCAATTTATACATTCGAGATGTACCCGAACCGGTCCCAAGGCCCAATCACGTCCATTCCCAGGTCCTCGGCGATCCAAAAACCCATACCCCGACTTTCCCACAGAATATCACTCGTCCCCAAATCCTCTCATCGACACTCACTTCCATTTCTGCTCCCATTTCACCCAAAAAAAATCGAGAATAAACGCAAAAAGGAGACGAAACAAATGTGTAAACACTTTTTCCGGTTGTTCAACTGCATTGGGCATCAATAATTTAACGCTAGGGTGTCATCCAATAACGTTAAACTCCCATGAGAGAAGGTGGAGCGAAATCAGATAAAATCGAGAGAAGCTTGGGAATAAAAGAAATGGCAATTCAACCTCGTCAATGCATCAATGCATTTTTTTTTTTCATTATTCTTTCTTTTGTAGGAAGCACGTTTCAGTGACGCGTTCTCGCTTCTATATCTCCTTGCGCACGAATTACAACCGGCAAAAAGTTGCATTACATGGGTTTATACGTACACGGCGAGGCCGACAAATCGTTGGATTATACGAAAACCGGGAGGAAAGAAAGAGAGATGAGGAGATTGAAAAAATTGTTAACACAATTGGGAATAAATTATGATGGAAGTGATTCCATTGTTGCATTTTTTCCATTTTCTCCAGGGGAATTCAGTGGGACTGGTTGAACTCTCAATCACATAGTGGAAATTTTCTACTAGAATTTAAAATTAATTCTTGAATATTCATGCTGAATTCTTGAGGACAACGAAAAGCTTCTGGGAAGTTCGATTCTATTCACATTATTGTCGCTTTGTGAAATTGATTCGAATTGATTTTTTTTTATTTTCTTGGAGTTCAGCGGAATGAATTAAACTGCCAATCAGTAGTGAACATTTTCGAATGAAATTTCGAATTAATTTTTGGATTTTTCTTTAAATATTCCTGTGAAATCCGTCAGGAAAATAAAATAAAACTTGATTTTTTTTTTATTGTAGTGAAATGTCATTAATTTACCTGGAAAATGTTGAATGACGTTGAATATTCTAGTATGGATCTGTAATTTTCTCTTTAAAAAAGGGGATTTTCGGGAAAAGGGGAAATTGGCGTTTCAAGTCATGAAAATACGGAGATGTTTCAAACTTTTTGAACAATATAACGAGAGTATTCTATTTTTGATGAAACATATTCGTCTAATTTTCAGTTATTCGTTGACAATTCAGACATTTTGTTCAAATTTTTGGGTTTTTATTAAAAATTCATTTTGGAGGCTTTAGAAAAACGATAGTCTTCTCACAATTACGAGATATTCCACTAAACTTATGTGAATTGACTCGAAAAAATAAGGACTAGTTCGTAATTCTAAATTATTTGCTCAACTCAATCAAAAGTTTTCATTATCTGCAAACAATTCCAATGAAGATCCCCCGAATCGTTCGATAAGATTCAATTAAGATCGTTCTTATTCCTCGAAATGAGTTTGAGACTCGGAAAATTGAATTATTAGCGTGCAGAGAGCAGATAAGAAACGTTTTGCGTTTGCGAAGGAACTTCTGGTATATCCGATTAGTGAAGCTTATCAACTGCCGTCCGAGGTCGTGGAAAATCGGGCTATTCATGATTCCCTGTTATTTAGGTGGCTAAAATCGATACGTTTTGAGGTGAATATTAGTTCTTAGCGTTTACTAGTGTCTGAAGTGGTGGAAAGGCTTCGAAATTCTTCAAAACTTCAACTTCACCGAAGTAATTACCAATTAGGTACTACCGAACAAGCGCAATGGCTTCTTGCAGCTCGGACGTGGAACTTCATTCTCTTAAAAAAAAACTTGATAAATTTCCAGCACAAAATGTTTCAGATTTTCTTCAAAAACATTCATGAAATTGAGATCATAAATTGCACGAAAAGATGTGGAAATTGTGATTATTTGCAGGGCTATTGAAGGCGAGAAAAAAATCGAAGGAGAATGGATTATCGGAGAGGGCAGTATGGTAGCCAAGAGAGCTTCGATTTTCGAGATGATGGAGACAGCCGAAGGCAGCGAGGCCGTTCGGCTCATCGAGACGATGACTACGAGTTCAGTAACGGGAGGGATTACGACCCCCCGAGAAGGGATCGCTCCTCCAGTCGCAATCGCGAGAGCAACATGGTCTACAGAGGGCAGAAACCGAAATCGAGACCTGAGGAGTCCAGAGGGGCCGGCAAGCCGGGACCGGGGACTCTGAAGAGTATGGACAGCATTCAGGATCCTGGCAAGCGTTATGTCTTGAAGGATGTCATTGGCACTGGGGTCTGTGGGACCGTTTACTCGGCTGTGGACACCCAAGCTGGTAAATACGAACAAATTAATCCCTCATCATTGAATATTACATCAATTTTTTGATTGTTGGGAGACTCAAGAGCGTTAGACAGTTGGAAAATTCATGTCGAGGAATTCCTGTAGGAAACGTCGTATAGAAAAATGAAATTTTACTGATTTTTTCCGTAAAATAATTTCCATTGGACATTTTATATTTGAAAAAGGGCGGAGTAAAGCTCTTGAACTCTGCAATAGAATCGTCAAAAAAAAATAAAATTACAATTTAAGTTCAACAAAAAACTAATAAAATTTTCTATAGAATTTCCCCAGATCCAATTGCCTACATTTTTTTGTTTGATTTTTTTAATGCCAAAAAAGACAAAAATAACGTCGAAAAAATCTAGAAAATTCATGTCAAGGATTTCTTCGAAAATATCTCAATACAAAAAAGTTGTATTGAAAGATGAAATTGCACCGATTTTTTCAATAAAATAATATCTAATGGACATTTTATATTAAAAAAAGGTGCAGTAAAGCACTTGAATTCTTCAATAGAATCGGCCAAAATAAATACAATTTTCAAATGAAGTTCAACCGAAATACAACCGAATTTTCTAAACGATTCGCGCCCGAGCCATCGCCACATCATCACTGAATGAATTAATTGACCCAAATGAATCACCTCCGGGGAAATGCCCCATCAACCACTAATAACGATAATCAACAGGTAACAAGAAAGTTGCAGTGAAGATTCAAGATCTGACCCCCGACACTCAACAGCTAATAGTCGAGGAATACCGTGTGCTCCGTGATTTCTGTGGGCACTCGAATCTCCCCGATTTCTACGGTATTTACCGTAAGAGAGCTTCGCGAAAAGGAGACTACGATCAAATATGGCTGATCATGGAGGTAAGTATGATACTTGGAACCAATGAATCCATGAAAAACTGATAAAATCGTTATTCCCCCATTCCCCCCGCTGCCTCGGTGAACCGATTCATCCTGCATCACCGTAACCAAAGTACTCTCTCTCCCTCTCTCTCCCTCCGTCTTGTTTCTGGTGAATGGTGAATTTTTCACTGTTAGTTGGCGATCTCCCTCGCAACCCGGAGGCAATTTCAGGGATTTGAGACGCTCGAATACACGGATAATTTACGACACGCGTGGCCATTAAACAATCATTAAACTCGTTCGTATATGCAGGTGAGGTCCCGGCCACGTCGCTGTACTTAATTTACGATCAGACCTCCATCGGTGCTCCAAAAAATATTATTACTTATCGCTTTTTGTGTCTGTAATGAATAATTATTATTAACCGAAAATAATACGGAATATCAACAAATGGCGAACTGGATCAATGCTTCGATTTAAAGGTGAAAATGATGTTTTTAATGCATGACACGGAGAAAAAAATTGATTTTCAGAGACATATCACTGTCATGACGACATGTTTTGCCTCAATGGTTCTTGCGATATCACGAAAATATGTTGAAGCAAATAAAAAAAAATTAAGTATTTTGAAAGCTATTGGGGAGAAACAGATCTCCATGGCTTCAGTTTTAGGTCGAATTTTTCATTTTCCAACTGACATCAGTGAAAAATAATGTAAAAGTGTATATCAATAATTTTTTTAAATTCATCTTTAATTTTTTAAAGTAAAAATTCTTAAAATTCAAGCCAAGTCGCTGAATTTTTAGCTTTTCAAAATTATTAGTAATTAGTCCGATATTTCTCGTAAAATAGTGCGCCCTCACAGTCAATGTCACTCGAAAATTCTCAATCTCGAAAAATCCATGCGTTGAAAGAAGATACCATTTCCCCCCAACTTTATTTTATTCTCACGTCCCACCTCCCCATCATACTCCGAGATTAATTGCAGACATTTGAGTCGACAGGACTCACCCTCTGCACGTTCTCCAGAGTCGTAACTCGGCACAGTGTAGACGAGAGGTGTGCGCGGGGTGTTCACGAATCATGCGCTCGTCCTCCAGCCCATACTCTCCATGAAAGCATATATGCTACCAAAGACTCTTGACTATGCGATCATAAATGCACGATATGAATTATCGTTGGCTATAAATCACTGGCACATTGTCGTTACGCGTCCTCTTACATTTTAGACCCTGCCCCCCACTCCCCCTTTTTCTCAATGTATCCTTGCTTGTAATAAAGTTCATACCTGTAACTCACTCTGTTTCCTCTGACTGCTCTTGGCAGAATGTGATTCTGCCAAGAATTTGAGATGAAGGAAAAAATAACAAAAACATTTTTCAGAGAATTAAAATGAAAAGAAATCAAATTTTCCATTTTTTTTTTAATTTTAAGTTCCAAAGCTCATTTAATTGATATTGATATCAGAAAATATCAGTATCTTTTGCAAACGAATAATTATCTTAATGCTCTTGTCAGAATGTGATCCGTCCAAATAGAGAAACAACGATTCGAGATGAAGAAAAATATTTACAAAATGGTTTTTCCGAGAATTAAGATGAAAAAAAAACATTTTAGAGTTTTTTAAACTCTTAAGTATCAGAAAATATCAGTGTCTTTTACAAAAGACACTAAAAGTTCATAAACCAAAGTCGAGTATTTTTACAAACACTGATAATTACAGAGTAAAGAGATAAATCCGTGAGAGCTTAACAAAACCACAGGCGAATAATGACCTTCCCTGAATGCCCAGTCGTCATTTATCTCTAAAAAAGTCAACCACAATTCAATTCTCATTTCCCACCACCCCTGCTCCCTAGATTACTTCCTCAATTACCCAGGCATTTCTATTATCGCCCGACATTACACCGTGTCTCTCCGTACCTTAATTTCCCCTTTTTTTTACCCGAATGAACGTTGAAAATATTTTTGTCTTCATCATCTTCTTCATGTGGCTGTTTCGCAGCTATGCGAGGGGGGACCAGTCATGGATCTTGTGAGGGGTCTCGGTGTATCCGAGAAGAAAATCCAGGAGGAGCAGATCGCTTATGTTCTCAAAGAAATAGTCAAGGTAACAATGTTTAAATTGAGTATTAGAATGGAACAATAGTGATATTTAATACGGAAATGTCTGTGAGAATTCCGCAGAAATATCCTATTCAATATTCTTCATTTTGACAGGAATATTTCATTTGAAAATTTATGAAAATTTAACGAGAAACTCAAAAAAAATTATGAGTATTGTAAGACAGTAAAAATAATTTCGTCCAATTGATAAAAAAATTTGACACTCCTCAATAAATTATCCAAGACCATTGTATTCTCTTAAACAATGACAAAAAACGTGAAAAAATATAAATATTTTCATTTTAATATTCTCCATTGTAACACATTTCATTTGAAAATTTATGAAAATTTAACGAGAGCCTCAAGAAAAAAAATTATGAGCATTGCATGACATTAGAAATAATTTCGTCCAATTCATAAAAAAATTTAACACTCCCCAATAAATTATCAAAGACCATTGTAGATTCACCTCCTACCCCATTCCTCATCCTCAACGCAATCACCTTCAAACGCATAAGTTCGATTGCACAAAGGCTATGGTCCTATACCGGTAGCAATTCGTCTGCTCTCTCGAGTTTTTGCGGTAAATCAGGCCAAGCTGACATTTAATGCCGGCAAATTACACGCGAAATAAATACTCACACCGGTGCATGTTACGTTCTACCTCCTCATATCTCTCCTTCTCTCCTCGTCGCCCCTCTCACTCGCCACCGCACACATTTTGTGTAACTTTATCTCGGTTTAATCATGAAAATGGGGATATGAAGCCAGAAAGAAATCGGTTTTAACAAGTTACCGACCACCAAGTATGTCTTGATGAGTCGTGTATTAATGATTTCATGCTTGTGTCACAATTTCATTTCAGGGGGGTAAAATTCTGGCATTTTTTATTTTTCTGGAATCAACCGGGCTCATTAATTTCGTGGAGATTATCCCTATTCGCATTATTTATGTGAACCAACAATAGTGAAGTCAAATCAAAGTGACGAAAGTGAAAAAACGTCACTCTAATATTTACCTATTCCTGGTGATCCAAACATTATATCATATTTTGCTGAAATTTCTGGCACACCTTTTGGAAATTTTTATTACGAAAGAGTTTCACTGAAATTTCAAGCAATTTCATAATTAAAAATTGAAAATTTTATAGAAAAATGCGAAATTCGCAAGTTTTTGCTGCTCAAAAATTAGGAACATTGAATACTGAAATTTGATTAATTTTTCTCCCCTAAATCGAAGTTAATCCCCCTCCCCTAAAAACTACTGATCACCCATCCATGAAATTTCAATTTTCTCCTAAAACTTCACCCCTCCCTCTTCACTTCCCCCGAGAGTTCATTAAATTCACTTCACCAGGCCCTATCTTACCTCCACGAGAACCGCGTGATCCACCGAGACGTCAGAGGCGACAATATCCTGCTATCCAAAGAGGGAGAAGTCAAACTAGTTGACTTTGGTTTCTCAAGAATGTTCAAAGGCGAAGCTGGCAAGCGAAATACGACGATCGGATCTCCCTGCTGGATGGCACCGGAAGTGGTGACCAGCCGAGGAGACCCCGACGGTGGATACACAGCAAGATCAGACGTCTGGTCCCTCGGGATAACAGCGATTGAGTTAGCGGATGGGAAGGCTCCCTTCCAGGACATGCACCCGACGCGAGTCCTCTTCCAGATCGTGAGGAACCCGCCACCGGGTCTGCACAGGCCCGTCAACTGGTCCGAGAACTTCAACGACTTCATCTCCGAGTGCCTCGAGAAGAACCCTGAGAACAGGCCCGTCATGGCCGAGATGCTGATGCACCCGTTCCTGGCGGAACTGCCCGAGAACGATTATCACCTGACGCAGGAGCTGAAGGCCCTCTCCATGGGGGTCAGGGAGAGGAAGCCCGTCCCGAGGCCGCCGGAGGTCATGGTGAGGAACGGATTCCTGAAGAGGGATCAGGAGAGACCGGCGGAGGCCATGCTACATGAGGATCTAGCTGCTCTAGAGACCCTCACTGAGGACACTATTCTCGATGAACTTCACGAGAGACTTCGGAGGGGACATTTCCAGACTTTCGTGGGGGACATTCTGGTGATTCTGAATCCCAACGAGATTCAGGACATTTATGGAAATGATGTGAGCATTGTCGATATTAATTTATAGTGATGGATTTTTTTCGGCGGAGGTTGCGGGACATTTGTTGGAAATTTTTAGAACAGTTTAGGTACGTTGAATTTCGAGGAGTTTGGCCATTCAAAATTTTAAATTTGATGGAAAAGTCAAGGAAATTGTAAATTGCAAATTGTAAACTATGAAATGCAAATCAGGGATTTAGGTAAATATATATTCTGCTCAATTTGGTACTAAATATTCGTATTTTTCCGTTGTTAAAAAATATGGATTTTCGTTAAATTTTTGCATGAAATCTCCAATTTCACAAATTTTTCCCCCAAATCGAATCCCGTCTCACTCTCCTGAAAATAATCTGTCAACTTTCCATGAAATTAGAATTACTGATCAAATGTCAGTGGAATTTTTCATTTCATTTTTCCTTTTTTCCAACATGAAATGAAATTCTTCACAATTTGATACTGAATATTCATGTTTTGATTAAAAAATCCACCAAGTTATGGACTTCTCGTCTTCCTGCTGTTGAAAAATTTAAAATATGATTTTAATTCCCCCTAAATCCCATTCAACGTCATCCTCCTAAAAATTTCCAATCAAAACTCTTCAAAATTCAAATCGACCTCCTGCTGGCTGAATTTGCCTCCTTTATTTTAGTACCACGAAAAATACAACTTTAAATCTCGCTCGGAGAACTCTCCCCACATCTACTCAGTAGCAGACAGTGCGTACCAGGACGTTCTCCACCACGAGGAGCCCCAGCACGTTCTCTTCGCCGGTGAAAGTAACTCCGGGAAAACCACAAATGCACTACATCTTATCAAACATCTCATGTACCTCGGCAAGGTACCCCAGAAAATTAATAATGATTATTGAAGAGCGTAATCGTGCTTTATGGGGGTAATAAAAGTGTTTAATGTCTCTTTGAAGAGCGCAACGGACATCGGAGTGAGAGTTTTCAAAGCCATTGACTTGATCCACTCGTTCTCCCATGCAGCAACACCACTCAACACCAATTCAACGCGATGTGTTCTGCAGATACAGACGACATTTGGATCCACTGGCAAGGCTTCGGGGGCTATTTTCTGGCTGTACCAGCTGGAGAAATGGAGAGTATCCACAAAAGACACGTAAAGCAATCTCATTCTCAAATGTCTGACATTTTAATGCACTCACTACTGAAAATTGTCGTGTCTTTTTGCAGAAATAAATCAAACTTCCACGTATTCTACTACTTGTACGACGGCATCGAGGCCAAAGGGAGACTGAAGAAGTACAATTTACCCCGAGGCAGGCGGATGAGGTACCTCAGGATGAACGATTCGAGCTCGAGAAATCGCTCGTTCAAAGTGAGAAACGATCCTCAGGGAAATTCACTCAAGTTTGATGAGATCGAGGAGACACTGAGGCTGATGGAAATGGATGAGCACACTGATTTCATTTGGACTACACTGTCAGCTATTCTACTCCTTGGGGAGGTGTCCTTCACTGAGGGGAACAATGGGGAGGCTGAAGTGGAAAATAGGGATCTAGCGTATACCGGTAATAAGGCCATTTGAAATATTTTTTTTTTGTTGGGTATTAAGAATGAACACAGAGAAAATGACTTTTTCCAAGGAATCATTTTCTTGGGAGAAAAATTTATCTTCAAGTAATACAATTATGTTTAATTATGAGATGGTTATGCTAGTGTGAGATTGAATGTGCACCCTTTATTAGTTTTAAATTTTTTCTTCCAATTTGAGAGTTTCTGAGGTAAAATAATTTTGAATAATTCTAAATGTTGATAATTGTCAACGGAGTTCATTCAAGGTCATATGTAGCATAATCATCCCTTAATTTAAGATAATTATAATATTTCGAGATGCACCTGAACCACCTGAGAGTGACTGGCGTCGAAAAATAAATTCTTCTCAGAAGAAAATTATCCCTTGACAAAATTATTTTTCTAAGTGAAGGAAAAATCCTTCATTTTGATATATTATGAAAAATTAATGAGTTAAAGGTGATGAAAAATTCTGCATTATGACGATATAATGCCGATTTTTAAATTTTCACTACAACTTCGTCTTTTTTATTATTTTTTCTGTTTCGTCATTTTATTCTGTGAAAAAATCTATGATTCTTGCTCTTTTATCATGAAAAAATTCTGCTTCAACAGTGGCAGAGCACCTGGGCACAGACCCCAAGAAATTCGTCTGGTGCCTCACGAACTACTGTATTTTGAAGAAAGGCGCTGCAGTTCGTCGCAAGCACACCTGCGAGGAGGCCAAAGAGGCTCGCGATGTTCTGGCGAATACTCTGTACCAAAGACTAGTCGACTGGATAATTAATAGCATTAACATCAAATTGGCCATGACGAGGACACTCTTCGGGGATAAATACGTTGTTAGTGTCCTGGACATGTTCGGGTTCGAATGCTTCTCTGCCAATCGATTTGAGCAGCTGATTGTGAATACTATGAATGAGCAATTGCAGTGTTATTATAATCAGAGGGTGTTTGCGTGGGAAATGGTACGTGGTAAAATTGAAAAATTAATTAATTTTGGGCTGATTCTATTAAAGAATTCAATGATAATTTCCAATAGAAACTATTTTATAAAAAAAAGCTGTAGAATTTAATTTTTCTATCGAATTTTTTCGATTCACACATTTTCAACAAAATTCCTTTTTTTTCCTGTTTTCATAAAAAAAAATTTAACACTGAAATTTAAAACATTTGAGTCGAAGAATTTCAATTGAAAATATCTCAATAGAATGAGTTGTATAGAACAATTGAATTCTATTGATTTTTTTCATAGAATATTACCTATTGAACATTTCTATCGAGAAATAATTGCAGATAAACTGAATTTTTCCACAGAATCCACCGGAATTTAATAGAAAGCTCAATAGAAATCAAATAGAATTTTCTAACAAATTTGCTGGGTTTTTCTATGAAATTTTCTCTTTACGTGCATTCATCCACTCCAATTCCTTCGTCATCATTTTACATTCCAGCAAGAACAAGAAGAAGAGAACATTCCAGTGCAGCACTTCCACTACTACGACAATCGCGAAGCAATCGAGCAACTGATGGGGAAAAATTCCGGGCTATTCCTCTTAATCGACCACGCCTCGCGCCAACAACAGGACACCCAGTACATCATCGAGAAAGTGAAAAGACACGCGAGGAGTGTTCACGTAAAGGCTGTGAGCTATCACGAGTTCACAGTTGCCCATTACACTGGAAAAATCACTTACGACGCCGCTGAGATAGTCGAGAAGAACCGGGACTTCATTCCCCCTGAGATGATTAACGCCATGAGACTGTCTTCGCACGACGTCATCAAGCAGTTGTTCACGAATCAATTGACAAAGTCTGGGAATTTGACGGTTGTTGTTGAGGGGCCTAGAACTGCTCAGAAAAGGGTGAAACCGAAGAGGGAGTTGTTGGGACTGCCTGAGCCCTCGAGACTCAGGGTGAGGATAATCATGAATTTTATTCGGAATTGAGTAATTAATGAATGTATTTGAAGATGAATGAATCAATACGTTCATTTTAAAAGTAAATTATCAAGAATTTTTTTTTGAAATTGTTTTTTTTTTAATTTTAATTTTTGAAATAGATTAATTAACGAAGTTCTTCTTGAATCAATTCATTAAATTGGTGTTTTTGAAGGTGAATTCGTCCATGTTTTATTTAAAATGAAACTATAAAAAAGATTTTTTTGGAATTGATTGATTAATGGAGTTAATCCTGAATGAATGAATTAATTAATTTGATTTTCAAGCGAAAAATGTTAATTGACATCCGTTCTCTTCTTCAAAACTCAGAGATTCAATACAGCATCAAGAGGACAATTCTCCCAAACCCGAAAAATGCGAACGTGTGCGGCAATATTCAAATCCACAAGCTTGGAGATCCTCAAGAACCTCTCAATCGGTGGAGGAAGTGGAGGAACGCACTTCGTGAGGTGCATCAGAGCGGACCTAGAAGCAAAACCCCGTGGATTCCACCGAGAAATAGTGAGGCAACAGATCAGAGCACTTGCTTTACTGGACACTGCCAAAGCTCGACAGAAAGGCTATCCGCACCGAGTGCCATTCCAAGAGTTTCTTCGAAGGTATAAATAAGTTGTTAACAAGCCGGATTATCTATTCGGCAGAATTTCGAACAAAGAGTGTCATGAGACGAATGAAATTCAGGCTTGACTACCGCAATCGAACGAAAAATTACGCCTTTGGAAATTTTTTATTGACGTTGCGGATAAACTTTTTGAAAATTTTTCAAAAATCGTTTCGAAAATTTTTTCAGATTTGAAAATTCATGAGAAAATTAATGGAAAGTGCCAATATATTTCTATTGATTTTTGAATGACATTGAATTTTCAGTAAAATCTGAAATTTCATTATTTTTCCGCGTAAATCCATAGAATATTTTTATTCAGGGACTTTCCCCTGAATTTGCAAGATGAATGAGAAATTCCATGAACAATTTTATTTGAAATTGAATCACAACAATGAGAATTCAAATCCACATTATAATTACACTGAAATTCCAGGGAATTGACTGACAATTGAAAATTTAATGGAAAAATCAAAGAAAACTACGAATTTCATTTATTATTCCCTGAAAATGAATAGAAATCAGGGAAATTCAGATAAATTCAGCCATGAATTTCCAATTAATTGAACGTTCATCGTAATTTATTCCTGAATATTCATATTCCTATTGAACATTCAGATAAGTTTGGAAATTCCCGTCTTCCTGCTGCTAAAATCGAAGTCAACTGTCCCCGAAATTTCAATTTTCCCAACAGTGTATCTATCGAATAAAAATTAGACATAAAATTGATCGGTCGATTAAATATCCACCCCCTCATATTCCAGATATCAGTTCCTAGCCTTCGACTTCGACGAAAACGTGGAGATAACCCGAGACAACTGTCGCCTGCTGCTGGTGCGCCTGAAAATGGAAGGCTGGGTGGTGGGTAAAACAAAGGTCTTCCTGAAATACTACAACGAAGAGTACCTAGCGCGTCTCTACGAGATCCAAGTCCGTAAGATCATAAAGATCCAGGCGATGCTGAGGTCCTTCCTCGCCAGAAAGAAAGCGAACCGAGTGGCCAACAAGAAGAAGGGAAACGAGAAGGCGAAACTCCAGAAGAAACAGAGCATCTCGCACATGTCACAGGACGAAGCGGCCACGAAAATCCAGGCGCGATTTCGAGGTCACCAAACACGAAAGGGGACCGGACCCTTACTGAAGGGGGACTTCGACGTGGACACCAAAGACTTCATGGCGTACTACTTCAGAAAATGGAGGACTAAGAGTGTCTTCCAGGTAGGAACGCAACGAAAAAAACTGATCGGTCAATTTACCCTTATTTTACATGTAAATTCCACATCGCTGATTGATATTTTTTACTGACTGCGCAATTGTTCGGTCAGAAAAAAAATTAAAAATCTGATGTAGCATAAATGACAAGAGAAAAATTTTGACGGTAAATTTTCAAATAGATAGAACACCCCATTTTTTTTCTATATATTATTTCATCGAAGCCGAGTTTATTGTTAAATAACTCACCGTTTAAATAAAAAATGAGTTTATTAAATAAAATGAGCGAAAAGAATAATGAATAAGCGATGCAAAAAGAAGGGGCATGTCCGCGGACTAGGAACAGAGGTAAAAGAGTGACGAAAAATGAAAGAGACGATTGGACATAAATTTAGTTGAGAGAGGAAAAGAGCAAATACGCAACAATATCACGTCGATTTTTCTGAGTGCAAAAATAATAATAATTTTGCATGCCCTCAGGTTCTCCTGAGGTACAGAGCTGTTCGCTACCAAGACCTGGTGCAACTCTCCCAGCAGGTGCACCTGTTCAACCAGGCACTGAACTCTGCGATGCATAAATCGAACCTGAAAGTTCCCTCAGGCCGAATCGATCCCAATGTGACTGTCGATTCCTTCCTGGAGAAGCGAATGCCGCAGGTTCATAAACTACCCTTTGACCTCAGCCAGGAGTTCCCCATGTTCGACACAACCTACATGAACGAGCCCTCGACCTCCAGAAGGCCTCGGGGCAATTCCCCCTGCTCCTCGCTGTCCGATGAGGACATGCACGAGAACTGGGACGCACCCCTCAGGAGACAGACTGTCCCCTGGTTCACGAGTGCTAGTAAGAGGGATGTCGAGGTGCAGACCACCAACTCCCCGCACAGATCACCTAGGGGTCCGGTCAACAGTGGACAGAGCATCATCAATACTCCTTATTCCAGGGATCCCAGGGTACCGGTGCAACTGCCGCCTGAGGTGGCGCCACCCAAGGTCAATCCTACTGTGAGTAGGGGGAATTTCATGGGACCCACAGGACCAACTGCTGGAAGCTACCTTTCTCGCTCAGTACGTGTCATGTATTCTGATTTTAATTACTCTGGTAATAATTTTTGGATACAAATTTCTGGTACATTTGGAAATTTTTATTGCATTGTCGTTCCATTGATATGATCAAGGAATTTCGTTTTCAAAATTCAACATTTTTTGAAAAAATCAATGGAAAGTAAGTTTCAATTCAATTACTCCAGGAATATTGATAGATATAAGAACATTGAGGTAAATATATTCTTGGATTTGATATCTAAACATGAATATTCAGTTTCAATTACGTGAAATACAAAAAAATTATAGAAAAACCTGAGAAATTACATAGAAAATTCTGTTGGTTTTTCTATACAACTTATTCTACTATAATATTTTCCAAAGTTTTTAATTTGTTTCTTCAATGAAAAGCGAAGAAAAATAGAGTGTAAAAGACTTAGAAAAGTCATGTTGACGAATTCGTATAGAAAATGTCTCAATAGAAGTTCAACAGAATTTTTGAGGAAGTGTGACATTTCATAATTTGTTTCCTCTAAATAGAATTCAATGTCACTCTCGTGAAAATTATTACTCAATTCTTCCTAAAATTCCAATTGTCTTCAAACAATGTAGCTTATACTAATTTTATCTCTGAATTTATTGGAATTACGATAAATTTTGATTTAATTTCAGAATAATTATAATAAAAATAACAATGACTCGGTGAGGTCCAAGAAGAAGAATCCACCACCACCGATTCCACAGATGCAGAATAGAAATTGGGGGGACCACGAGGGGACTAGTCGGAGGGGAAGTGCTAATGAGCTAGATTTCGATAGAAATCGAAATATGGCTGGTACTAATAGGTAATTATTACTCGTACGTAATTGTCAATTTCTCATTCTTAATAATTCCAGAAGACATTGGTAGCACTTTATTCATGATAATCTGGTTTTCAGGGCGAATCCAATTAATGAATTGAAGTCCATTGGACGTAGAAATAGCAACAATAATGATTTTGACGAGGAGCCTCCTTTTAACTTCCAGGTATGATCATTATTCCATTGAATAACTGATTTGAATTCTTCAAAAACACATTCCTAGGGCCATTATGCGGCAAATGGTTTAGTCTATTCTCTTTTATAAAATAACAGAAAGTTGATGGTCTGCCTCTAACGTTAGGGAATAACTTCATGTGTTTCATCTTCATGTGATTCATTTTTGTTCCATGATTGATTCTGAAGAACTGTCAATAAATACGCCCCTTGCAATTAATCCTTAATTATTACTTAATTAAATACAACAATGTGCAAAAAAATTTTAACTTTATTCTAAGGCTGTCAAGGACAGAATATTAATGGTTTCAATTTTGTAATTAGATTGAATAAATTGTTGTAAGATTCATTGCCTTGCATTTAGCACTCGAAACGTCGGTAAAAAATTTCATAATAAAGTTAAATCAGTGACGCGCCTCAAAACGTGAAAATATGATGGAAAATCGATTTTTGATTTTCAAAATGATTCCAATACTTCTCCCGGGAAGTTAAAAAAATTCTTACAAAAATTTTCTCGAATTAAGTGGATTGATCTCGTTTTATCAATTTATTTTTCACCTTAATTCCCTCAAGAATCCTCTCATCCTACTGTTTTTTTCAAGGCAATGCTTCGAAAAACTCCTCATCAACGTGAATCGATGAAGCGTACCCCAATATACGACAGCTACCGACCACCACCGCCATCATACGACCCACCCTCCCTACCAAAGCCATCAAAACAAGTACGTGAAAATGAATTTAGCTATAAAGCCAGCACTGATCCAGACGCAGTGACGGTTTACCGCAGTGGGAGTAATGTCGAGTCCCCAGAGTGGAGTCCCAACGAGATGGTCAGAATGTCTGAGAAATACGGGCGCGAGGGTGCCTGGGGAGGTGACCAGCCAGAAGATAAGGCCGCGGAGGGTGCCTCCGGCATGGAATCAGGTAAAAAACCTCAGAGAATCGACGCACCAACGACAGTCATTGGACCTGACGGACTATCTCGCGTTGAAATTGCACCTGGCATTATTGTGGAGGGGTACTGCAAGGATTTTTGAACTTATAAGCGATGAAAACTCAACAAATAACGATTTTTCAGTCATTGGTTATAATGAAAATCGTTGGGATTAGAATAATGAATAAAAAACGAAAATTAAAAAAAAATTGCATGAATTATTTTTAGATTATGATAAAAAATAAGTAAAAAATGTGAATATCAAATGCCGAATAACTAGACATTATTCGACGAAATATTTAACCGATGAAGTAAGAAATGCAAAAATCAATTGTTTAGGAAATTTATAAAAATAACTTTATTTCAGACATATTATTCTTCCAGGAATTACGAATAATTGATAATTCCACTCCCTACAGTTGTTAAATAAATATGAATAATTTTAATTTAATGCATAAATAGTTAGAATGTCCATAGAACCTGCAAAACTCAACTAGGTGTAAAATATATTACGAGTATAAAAGACTCTGATTGATAATTAACTGAACGATGATAATTGTACTGATCTACTGGCCATAGAATACTTCTGTTGTAAAAATCATAGATCGTAAGGATACATGTAAGAATCACAGTAAAATTAAACGAATTACTCTGGATATCTTCTCCAGTGTATTTTCGAATATCAAATTTTCCTTTTTTTAATGGTTTTGATCAGTCCGGGGGCTGACGACTCGTCTGTTGGGAGCTCTGCTTTATTATATTGACCAATGTATCGAGCTTCGTGGGGTGGGCTATTTGGAGGACCATGTGAGCCTCCTCCAGGATCAGGAGACCATTGTGGGCATCTACTGCTGATAAATTGTGACAGGATATGACGTGTGTTTTCCAAGCTGCGTGAGTTGGCAAAATCTAATGGCATTGGGGAGAATATTTTCAGTAGATTTTTTTTATCTTTGTGTTAATAATGAGGGCCTTTAGAGAAAAAGTTGTGGAGCTTTTTTTTTAGACAATTAGATTTAGAATACAAGTTTTTACTTTTAAAATTTGGGACTAAAATCAATCGTTATGGAACTTATTTTGTTATTTTGTTAACGAATTTGAAAAAAGTAAGGGTTTCCTTGCAATGGTTAATCGATCTTGATTTTGCTCTTCATCTCGATAATGAGTAATTTGAAAATGTTGAAAGATTTTTTGAGTAGAACCATTATGGAAATAATTTCGAACTGAATAAAACTTGAATCGTTTTTTTAATGTGATAATAAGTCACTTCATCTGCATTTTATTCACTCATTCTCATCAAATTTCCAATGTAAAATACCCTTTCACTTTTTTGCCTCAAACTACTCCCAAAAAAAATTATTCCAAATCGAAAAAATTCTGAAAAAAAGCTCTTAAAACCAAAGACTCAATTCGTTAAATAATAAACACTCCATTCCGCAGCCTTCAAAATTGTACATTTTACCTCTGCGCACCATTTACAATTGAGTTTCGGTGAGCTAGTATGAACAGCTTTGATGTGCCTCCTCCTGAATCCCCAAGAAGTGTACGCTCTATCGCAGAAAGGGCATGGAAAAGGTGGATACCCAGCATTGCCCTTGCCCGCCTGTGAATTATCAGCATAATCAGAATTCTCCGGCATTGGAAAAGATGAAAAAGCCCTTGTACGAGATCTCCCAGGATTGCAATCTCCCTGGCCCTCACAATCCACTGTAATTGTTTCTACATTTTCTGAAATCATCCTCGTGCCTTGAGTGATTTCCTGATCATTAGTGTATCTTTTACTGAATCTCGCATGATTTTCAGAGGCCTCTGGAATCACTGTCACGGATGGCATAGACGATGTGCCTGCAAATATTTTTTAAATCGACAGGTGAATAATGCTGGAGGGCTCAATAAACTGAATTTATTTCATAAATGTAAAATATGCATGTATTTTTTTTTTCGTTTCTTGTATTTATGCGTCATTTCCTGATACAGATTTTTAGGTAGATCTGGATTATTCTGAAAAATTCTCGGAGTTTATTCACATTAATAATCGAGGAGCACTCGAATTATTTTACTTCGATTCTGTAATTGAATGAAAATGAAGTAATCTATATGAATAAATAAATGGTTACTTATCGATGAGTGAATGAATGAAACAAGAACAAAAATTATCTACTTGAGCAAAATGCATTAGATCATGAATAATATTTTGTCAATTAAATATTAATTAATTAACAAAATCTTTGACTCGATTCCATCCAATCACAGAATCACATCTATCATCTAGACTTCTTATGCAGCTGTTTCTGCTCATTATCTTACACAACTTATCGATTAACCCTAGCTCACTCTATAAGCATTCATTAACATAATATTTATCCAATAAATCTCACATTCAAATTAAGTATCCTTAATCACCTGATTACAGACATAACTGTAAGCTCCCTAATGCGCTCGATAAATCTTCACAATGAACGCTACCCGTGCGATTTTTTCAGCCGTGTTTTCTTGACGTTCTAAGGTTTTAAAGCTGAATCTCATATTACAGAAAATGCTGGAATGATTTTTTTAATTAATTAATGAATGGTAAAACAATCTTTTGGAGGGAATAATTTTGAAGAGTTGAGAATTTTATCGACTATTGGTGTAACTTTGGAATTTTTCTGGAGAATATCCACGTGGAATGGAATTTCTCCTCACATCACTACATTTTTCCAACGTTTTTTGAATCCAAAAACAGTGATTTCAGATGCACTATAATTAAATTAAAATTGACGAATCCAATCCAATCAATTAAAATTTGTCGCTTTTGTATTTTAAAAAATCCTAAAAGTGTAATTCTGTATATTCCACCTAAAAATCCTCAGTAACTGAATAAAATCACTGCTAACACTTTGGTTTTAAAAGAAATACCCTTCTGAATATCTAAAACTTTCATTAACAATTGTTCAACATTGAAATGCCATTTTTTCGTGTATGAAAACACCCAAAAAATGTAATAAATTACATTCCACCAGGATACCCTCGATAAAAAACAGTCTCAAGTCAGTGGCGGAGTTTTCGTTTGCCCCCTGACTTAAACCTCCCTAGTCATTGACTGTAAATAGCCCTCCTCTGACAGAGATATCTCTTCAATCCCCTATTACTAGTATCAATTTTTGTAACACAATTCTTCCACGCCTCCTCCCAGTCCACACTATTTGGTGACATTCCACTGAAGTGCAGTAAAACTTCCCTGATGAGCCTTATTTTATTGCTATCAAACTGTCGTTTTCCCATTTTTCCATTGACATTACACATTATCCTCTCTTCAGAAGTGAAAAGTAACTTCATGATATCACAAGCCAGATGATCCATAGGTCTCGATGATGCCCACGATCCAATGATCTCAGGACTCGGTAGTAAATCGGCATATGGTAATTGTTGGTAAGGATAAAGTACAGCTTTTGCCTCCGCAAGTCCTGAGGGGCTTGACAGCGAACCAGAAATCTCTTCCATTGGATCTCTAACATTCCCTGCCACACACATCATGTTTTCTATTTTTCTGTTCTCTTTGTATTCACGTGTAAATTTTGTTTGTTTTTTTTGTGCTTTTGGGGAAGAACACAGACGAAAACTCAATACAAGCAAACTCAGTCACGCGATTATCAACTTCGCAGGCACTAATTGATTTTTTTAAATTTATTGATTAAACGTTTAGTCTAGACTCTAGAACTAGGGGGAGTTTGATAGTTTTTGGGGTGCGTTTCAGGCAACTGAGGGAATGCTGCAAGCTCAGGGATGAAAATGTTGGGGATTTTTAGGGGTTTTCGTGCATTTTGGGGAAATCTACACACCTTGGGCGCCGTTTGGACTCGCTGGGTCTACTCTGTCGTGACCAACGTCTTCAGTATCTGCCTTTTCTAGCTCTTCCAGGGTAACTTCGAATGGTTCTATCTGGGAGAAAGAAATATTGATAAATCCTGGTTTCTTCTGCATAGGAGATTAAAGGGACTCCTTTCGTTCGTCAATATCTTAGAAATAGATGGTGAGATTTGAGTGAGTCAGGACTCATTTTAAAGCCCGAAAAAATAACTTCAAAATGGAAACGAAGTTTCTAAAATTCACTCTGCCAATCTCGAGATATCGAAGTTTAAAATAGATTAATAGTTGCGAAAAATTACCTTCATCTCAAGAGGATCGTAAACAGGATTGGCAGAGAGATGATCCATCTCCATATCCTTGTTACTCTTTTCACTGCTGGAGGTCTCACTTATGCTGACTGATCTAGGCCTCCTCGGTGTCAGAGCAGTCTCGAGGATGGAACTGTCATTCCCCTTGTCCACCTTCTTTCTCTTCCTCTTGGGGGCTTCCTCGCTGACACTCTGGACCACCTTCTCCAAAACGGGAGGCCCCAGATCCGAGAGCTTCGTGCATGCATCCTTGGCGAATGAATCATTACCGGAGAGGCCACGGATCTGGAGGGTCTCAGCTGCTTTCAGCAGTGCTGAGAGTTTTTTCTCCTCGATGTTCACTTCACCTTTGTAAATGAATATGAGGAGAGCCTCGAGCTCTGTGAAGTGGACATCCTGGAGAATGATTACTGGGTGTTGACATGGATTTGTCTGCAAAAATTGATAAATTCAATTAATTTAGTAATCGATCAAATTCATTAATTGATTGAGTGAATGATAATCCTTTTAAATCCACTCATTCAATTAATAAATTAAATAATAAGTTAATGAGATTGGAAGTAATTCCAGAATGAAGAGAATTGTTTGCTGAGTTTTTTATGAATATCTTGAAATCCAAAGAGGATAGAAAATTCCCGTAAGAAAATTTTGATGATATATAAATAATCAAAAAAGTAGCAAAACAATTAATTCATGAAAATCGAATTAATCACCAATTGAACGATTCAATTACTGGATAAACTCAGAATGTAAACACATCCAAAATGAAATTCTTCCACGAGTTTTCGATAAATATCTTGGAATCCAAAAAAAAAATAGAAAAATTTTCATAAATGCCTTTTCTATGCAGAATAACAAGAGTTAAAAAAAACACTAAAAAACCACCATCTCCCTCCAATCCCACGACCCCCCCCCAAGACCTGCACCTGCCCCAATAATTCAACAATAAAACCGCATTCCCCACTAAATACCAAAATCAATAATTCAAAAAGATCACTTACCTGGAACACTTTCTTAAAAAAAGGACTGCTAGCTGACAAAATAACCTTGTGAGCAGTCAAGCACTGTCCATCACTAGCCAGGGTAACATCAACGAGTCCCTCCTCCTCCCAGAGGCTCTCGAAGCTCGTGGCAATATTGTTCAAAAAACTGTTCCACTTCAGGCATATCTGATTTTCCATGATAAATCCTTCTAATTAAAACAAGGACAAGTCCAGGGAAATTGTCCCTCCACCGCGTCCCCCACTCGCCCAGAGGTTAAACGGCCTCTCAAAAACTACAATCTCGAGGGAATCTTTAGACTTGAATCGCGACAACAGCCACTGATCCCGAAAAAAACACTAATAAACACAGCGTTGTGTAATTATCGCCATAATGGCGTTTACAGCTCTGAAGAATCAAGGGACAACTAGCACCACCTTCTCCAGCTCGTGTTTATTTCCCCTCTACCTCGAGCCCCTCGACAGTGGCGCCAGTTTTATTATTGATGTCAGGTGTCTTGCACCAGCTGTGATACGATATTTTATTCTCGGGGATCAGGTAGTTCATTAGAATTTGCTGGTGTTCCTAGGAGACATAACTCTGACGTCAGATCGTCATGGGGCATCAGGATTTAGTGGGGTTGAAGGGAATTTGACGACTGTTGGGAGGAGAAGGTGAAGGACCTGATCTGGGAGCTGATGTGGGACATAACCTAAGGACAATCATGGTAATAATCATTTAATTCGAGTAAATTAATGGATGTAAACAATGAGGAGTCGAATATTTTCTTCGATCAATTTTTGTTTTGATTTTGTGGGGACGATTTTTTGACTCCAGTGGAGAAATGAATTGAGTTTCTTGTTGGAGATTTGGGCTTTCGAGGTTTGTTGATGATTTTTAGGCAACGCAAGACGAAGACTACGGCAAGAGCGACGAGTTCGACACGTCTGATGAAAATGAGAGACCATCCGGGGAGAGATGGGCTCCAGTTGGAGCCAATGATGGGGACAGTGACTTCACTGATGACTACAAGTGTTCTGACAATATGGAAAGGTGGGTTACGGGTAGCGCAGGGCGGGGGAAGCTGAGGCAAAATGGGAATTTTTTTTCAAAGTTTCGTGTCACTGGAATTTCAAGGAATTTCGTCATTGAAAATTCAAAATTGTATGGAAAATTTAATTGAAAATTCAGTGTAATTTGATACTGAATGTTCATGTTTTGAATGAAATTTCGAGTAAATACGGAAATTCTCGTCTTCTTGCTGCTCAATATTTCAAGTTTTATTTTTTTTGTCCTCTAAATCGAAATCAATGTCACTCGCCTGAAATTTAGCAGTCAACTGTCCATGAAATTCCAATTTTTCACTAATTACTTTAAAATGTACTGAAATTTCCAGTACACTTTTTGGAAATTTGTATTACATTATAGTTTGATTGAAAATTTAAGAAATTTCTTCATTGGAAATTTGACATTTTATGAAAAAATCAATGGAAACTGAATTTCTGAAAATTCAGATAAATATTTCGTTGAATTCTCAATTTAATTGAAAATTCCGCGTCATTTAATTCTAAATGTTCAATTTTTCCTGCTCAAAAATTTGGAGTTTCATTGAATTGCCAGAGAAATCTAAACATTTCATTATTCTTTTCCTTTTATATTAAATTCCGTGTCCCTTTCCCAAAAATTATCAAAAAAATATCCTTGAAATATCAATTTTCTCCTGAAAGCGATAAAAAAAAATTATCTCATTTCATCAGAAATTTAACAAGTCATTAGCATTCCAAAAAAATCAAGTGCCCATTTTGCCCCACTCGCCCCTATTGATGCATGAGTATGAGGGACTAATGTAGAGGATGGGGTACTAACATCTGGTGAATTTGGCAGTATTTCTTACAATATGGACAGGCTTAAGTTGCTCGAGGAGGAACAGGAAATGCTCAACTCTTCGCTAATAGCATTAACTACGCATTTTGCACAGGTAGAATATTTTAACAATAAATTAACTCCCATTATTTGCAAGAATTGTGATGATTCTATGAAAAAATCGGACGATTAATTGTTTACACAATGTTCAGGTGCAATTTCGCCTGCGACAAATTGTGGATGCGCCCACAGATGAGAAGGAAAAACTCCTGAAGGAGCTCGAGGAATTTGCATTCAGGGGAATCCCAGATGTTCCTAATACAGTTGCATTGAGGAATAGATCCTCTTCTTCGTCGATTTCTCTGTGTGAAAATGTAAAGGATGAGCTCAATCCCAATTTATTAAGCCCAGAGGGACCAACTAACCACCACTTCACTGAATATTTCATTTATTTTTCAGAATGGATGCAGTGGTTACGATGAAGAAGTGGAGTCCAAGATAGCCCTGCAAAAGTCCAAGCAACGAGAATTGATCGAGCAGTTGAAGGTTCAACTAGAGGACCTTGAGAAGTACGCGTATGAAACTGACGGCCAGGACTTGCCACAAAGTGTGATTTTAGAACGTCAAAACATGATAATCAGTGAGTTGAAGAATTTGAGATTAATTGTCTAGAAATTTTCGTGGAGAACTAAACTCTTAACAAGATAATTTCATATTAAACAAGAATATTTAATTTTATTTGTCAAAACGTATCTTCCCATAAATTTTCAAATCATAAATTATTTCCTCGAACAGTTTTTTTTAAAAGTCAAATAACTTATAAAAAAAAGTCTTGACATTTTCTCTTGAAGTTACTCTCAACGAATAAATTAATTGAATTTATCAACCATGTTTTACACGTTTCAAATCAATTTGTCCCCATCACAGACCACTTGAAAGAAAAACTAAACTTCGAAGTAGACGACCTGTGCAAGCTCCCCCTGGACGACCTCCGCTGGCAGGTGGACCACGCGATAAACGAAATAGTCAGCCCCCTAAAAATGAAAGAACAGCTGGTGAACCAGCTGAAGACGCAAGTAGCAGACCTAGAACGTTTCATCCACTACCTCCAGGGTGAGGTGAGCCCGGAGAGTCTAGCCTGCACCTGCGCTTGTCCCGTCCACACAACAGGACTAAAGCCCTCGCAAAAATCCAAACGCCAGATTCCCCTGATGGACAGAAATGACGACAGTCACACAAAAACCCTGAACACAGTGCGAAAAGTCATAACTCTTCTCCACATCTACTTGATGTCCCAACTAGGCTGCAGCAGTGAGAGAACTCGAGGGAAAAAGGACAGTAAAACCACCTGGAGAGACTTGAGGACTCGTCTGGACATCGCCATTGAACATGTCCTGGAGATTGCGGCTGAGAGCGAGGAGAGTCACTCAGACCCACACGACAACGATGACGACGATGACATCGACCTCTACGCGTCCGATTCCGAGTCCCCGAGGCAGCACACGAACGCCAAAATGACGTCCGCAGTGAGAAAACACCTGGCTGTGTGCATCAGAGACCTGATGGCACATGGACTGAGCTCGGATGTTCGTTCCAACAGTGTCGTACCCTTCGTGGGTTGCTTTCCACAGAGGAGAAGCCTCACTGTCGATCAGATGCACCCCTGGGAGCTCATCATCAAGTACTACGAGTTCAAGAATGGACACAGGTACAACTCCAGTCCTGCTCAGAAACTGTCGCAGAGCTTCAACCTTGCTCTGGTCAACGAGAGAACTGTCTCACCGAAGCAGAGTCTCCTTACCACTGTGGGGAATATCGTGGCTAGCCATTCGCAGTATAAACGGAGTTATAATTCGCACTTCAAGGCTTTCATCTGTGCAGCTTTGAAGTGAGTTTTTTTGGGAGAAGAATACGTGATTGTAATGTTTTGGAGATTTTTAATTGAAATTTGAGGTGAAGGACAAGAATTTTCGGATTTTTATTGAAAAGTTATGTTAAATACCTCAGAACAATTAATATTTTAGTAAATTTATCGGAAAAAATGAGAACTGACTCGATATTTTTTACATTAAACTCAATTTTCATGTAGAAAGAAAAAAATCCACTCTTCAAGGCCATCAGCCGTCAATTTTCAACAAAGTTTGTGTTTCATGAACAATTTTACGTAAATATTCACTGTTCCCACAAAAGATTGGATTATTTGTTGCCAGTTTTCAATAAAAACCTGAAAATTCATCGACTTTGTTCAAATTTTTAGAATTATTTAAATCAAAAACATCAAATAGAATTTTTTAATGATTCATAATCAAAAATTGAAGAATTATGAGCTAATCGTCACTTCAATTTTCATCAAATTGAAGTATCTCACCATTTTCTTGAATAAAATAATATCATACTACAGTCCAATGGAATAAATTAAGCAATTATCGAATTTTGTGATTTTTTTCTAGTGCTAAAAAACTGGTTCCCTGGCTGCGGCTTATCCTTCAGTGTCAGTATTTATTGGAGAACCACTACATGTCTTGGAGTTATGTTGTGAAAACAGGTAAAGGTCATCATTAAATAAAAATAGTTAATTATTAAAATATAACTGAGTGAAGTCACACTTCCAGATTTCAACAAATTTAATCAGAAACTGATTAATTAATTTCAATAATTCTGAAATTATTCACATGTCAACGCATTTCTTATTCAATTTATTGCTACTAATATTAGTCGATGTTTAAAAAAAACTACCACTTCACTAGTGAATTATTAATATTGTTAATTTTACGTCATGTTCTAGGATTTCAAGATGCATTTCATGCACTCGATCGTCTAACAACAATTCACTTCGATCTTCCCGTCGACCTGGCAGTCCGGCAGTTCCAAAATATCAAGGATGCATTTTGATGGATCTCCCAACCCTCTCGAACTATCGTAAATTGTTAGAATTCATCAGCTGTGCTAAACAATCGTTACATCCGTGATCTTTAAGAAAAAAAATAATCAGAAAACCAGTTAACCAAGACGTTCACGATTCCATAACGCAACATCCATTGCTTTGAATAATTAACTACAGTGCGTATGTTAATCACGCACAGAACATCATTCAAACCAAAGAAAGGAATAATTTATCTGTAACTCTAATTCACCTGTTGTATTAATTTCTCTGAGTTCAGAGGCATGACGAAGTCATTTATTTATCATTTAGCCGACAGATATCAAAATACTTTGCATAAGATATTTATTTACTAGAACAGAGAATTGTAAAGTAAATGTTGATTTACATAATTCAAAGAGTGTAAAAATGAATTCAATAAACTGTTGATTATTTATGAATGCAAAAAATCAAGAGAATTAGTTGGAGAATGGAAAAAAAATATCCTGTGGGGGAGATATGCCGTTAATAATTTTTGGCTGAAACTTTAAACAGTTTTTTCATTAAAAATTCCAAATTTCTGTGAATTTCAGCTCAATTATTCCGTGAAAATTGATAGAACTCAGAAAAATTCAGGTGAATTAATTGAAATATAATTCACGATTTTACCCTAAATCGACTTTAATGTCGCTCTCCTGAAATTAAAAATTCAATTGTCAATGAAATTTCTATTTTTTTCGAACAGTGTAATTAATGAATCGATTTTTTTCGCGCATGCCTGGATCTCCAGGGCGTATCGTCTGGACCATCCAGTTACCATCCGAGACCCCAAATGCATGTAAACGCGAGAGATAGAATAATTCGTACATCAATTCCCCCTCTCATATCCCTCTGGTAACAAGTACCTCCAGAAAATTTAATCCATTTGATGCATAGGTACCCGTGTACCACAGGCATTAGTAATTGTTCAATGAATATTATATAGGCCATCATGAATTGAAAATAAGGGACAATCAACCCGGATCATTGACACCCTAGACTACTCGCTTCATCGAATTGACAGCAGTTTTGCGGGGGATTTGTACTCGATAGGATTGCTGGAGTATTTTTGTTTTTCTGCGCTCAAGAGGTGGAATTTTTTTCGTCAATTAAATATTTTGGATTTACTTTGAGATGAAGAAGTTCGTTGGGATACTGTGTCTGCTTCTTCAGGTGTCAATTGGACTATCTGGGGTGAGTGATAAACCGGAAATTGAATGTTTATGAATGATTTGTGATGAAAAAGGACAGATGAATTTTTTCCCACTTGTTAATTGTGGAAATATCTCAACGAGTGATTGTAGGGGAAAATGTTACAAGAACATTCTTGTGGGAAATTCCATCAACTACAAAAAAGTATTTTGACTTTTTCTTCTGAAACAATTACTTTTCGAGATAAATGCGAAATTATCAAGTAGTTGAATAAAACTTGATTTCTTCTTGCTATTTTGTGATTTGAGTGGAAAATTAATTGACTATAAGAAAAATCTTCCGAGGTATTTTCATATTTATAACAAAACTATTACGTTCAATCGACATTGAAATTAATTTTCACTAATTACGAAGGACATTTCATTATATTTTTTCTTCATCTCTGAATGAGAAGAGGACGAATAAAGATGTCAAAATTCGCTAGTATATTTTGCATAATAATTCTCGTTTTTAATTCAGCCGGTTGGACGCCCCGATTTCGTCTCAGATGAGATGATTGCACTGGCAGCAAGTGTTGTCAATGCATGTCAAACGCAAACAGGCGTGGCTACAGGTAATCATTGCATTATCATATCTTCCTGGTATTTTCTACAATTTTTTATCGCAACACCCCATCACTTGTTTCTGCTAATTGATAGTTCTACATTAATCAAAATTAATAAATGCAAGAATAATGATTCACAGCTGACATTGAAGCTGTCAGGAGTGGACAGTGGCCGGACTCAACACCCTTAAAGGTAATCACTTATTTCAATTAATTAATAGAGAATTAAAAATGATGAATTTTCAATTTATGATATTTTTGCGTGCTCCCCCTTAAAACCCGAATACTTTTGTTTTTCGACTAAATAATAAATAACTAAATAACTTTCATCACAGTAAATACCCGCCCTTCAATTAAATTTAGTTTTGTGTCTCATTTATTAAGAAGAATTAACAATATTTTCAGTGTTACATGTACTGCCTCTGGGAACAATTTGGCCTAGTCGATGATAAACGAGAGCTTAGTCTCAACGGAATGCTGACATTCTTCCAGAGAATACCAGCCTACAGAGCTGAAGTGCAAACCGCAATCAGAGAGTGCAAGGAGATCGGTAAATACTTGGGTATTTATTGTTTTTTATTATTTCCTCTTCAGTTGCCCATTTTTTCACCAATTCCTCTGCTAACTCACGTTACTAATCATCATGACTTCTCATTCCTCAGCTAATGGAGACAACTGTCAGTATGCATACACCTTCAACATGTGTTATGCAAAACTATCCCCAAGGGTGAGTAAAAAATATTAAAAATCATTTTCTTTTCAATGGATCTGCTTTACATTTTGATTAATAATTCAATCCTCATTTTTTCAGACTTACTATTTATTCTAACTGCCAAAAAAACTCGAAAAAACCGTGTAATCATCTTCAATGTGATCATTAATGAAGCACAATTACGAAGTAACTCGCCGAATACTCAACTAATGTATCTACTATTGATATCAAAAAGTAACAATCACGTAAACATTTTTTCGATGAAACCTGTACGTTTGATGGAATATTACTATTGACTTTAATAAAAAAAATATTGAGTGTCATACATGATAGTTACCTATGATAATTCCCCCTGGACACTATCGATAATTGGAAAAATATTGAATGTTAATTGTAGTGGAGGATAATAGCAGCTCGGAAGAGTTGGAAAAGTGCGTCTGGAGTTGGAGAAAAAATGTGACCCGCGTCACCTTGATAATTAGTTTTTTTGTCCAAGTTGTATTTCTCGAATTAGCTCGTAATATCAATAACATCGAATGTTGATTCTCTGAATTCTCGCGATTTCCATGAATCAATTATGATGCTTTGGGTATAAAATACTGGGATCGATCGCAGTGTGTCAGTTTGTCTCTGACAGTTGAAGTATTCACTACTTGTTTGTCAATTTAATCAAAATGGTCAAGTATATGCTGAGTGCTGTCGTCTTGTTGTGCCTGATGGGCTACATTTCTGCTGGGGTGGGTAATACAATCTATGAGAATTTTAAATTTCATTTGGAAGAGCGCAGAACAAAATTTGATTGAAAAGCAAAAGCAAATACTATTAGTTTTTTAAAAAATTTCCGTGTTCTACAAAAATAAAAATCAATAGAATTTGATCATTCTATAAAATTTATTCTATTGAAATATTTTCTGCAGAAATTTCTCGATGTAAATTTTTAATTTGTCAAGTCCATGAAGAACTAATTGGCTTTTTAAATTGGAAGATAAAATAAATAGAGATTCAATAAAAATTTCTAGTGAATGCGCTAGCTTTTCCCATTTTTTTTACAGAGAGAAAAAAAAAATAAATGAATTATTGACTTCATCGATGAATTCAATAACAAAATAACGCGAAAATATATTATTCTCTTCAGCCAATTCCGAAAGAATTTCAAGAAGTTGCCGGAGATATTCGCAAGGTGTGCATTGAAGAGACGGGTACCACTGTTGGTAAATAGATTTTCAAAAAAATGGTTTAATATATCCACGTGCAATCATCGTATTCGAGTACAATAGGGGCTTGAATTTTTCTCTCAGATCTCATTGAACGGGCCGGAAAGGGTGACTTCGCTGAGGACGACAACTTGAAGTGTTACCTGAAGTGCCTATTTGCGCAATTCGGGCTGGTGATTGACGGAATTAGATAATTAATTCCCCCAAGAATGATTTTCAGAATAAATCACCAAATTTGTCTTTCAGATCTCGAAGAAGGGGCTGAACTTCGAGCAATTGGTCAAGGTTGCTCCACCAGATATGAAGGACATGGCGAAACAGCTTGGAGTGACTTGCAAGGATATCAGTAAGAAAATTATCGCCCCTAGATAATTAAGAACTAAAGAATGAGCATTTTTCACTTCCGAATCATCAAATTGCTGCGTAAAAATATTTAAACGAGTCCAGAGAAATGAAATTAATTTTCCTTTTGCATTTCAGAGATAAATGCGGACGGAGATCAATGCGACCTGGCTTACCACATGTCCAAATGCTTCTTCAATACTTTCCCTGATGTAAGTCGTACCAAAAATACCAACTGAAATTCGCAATTAAAAATTAATCAATTAATCTTCTTCCAGCAATACTTCATCATGTAACAACTGCAAAGAATGATCTTCAGTGTGACTTTACTTTCACGAATTAACAATCAACTACAGTTTTGCAAATCTCAATTTGTATTTACATTCAAATAAATCCGTTACTCCAAACATGCGCTCTATACTCTCAAAAAATTATATAAATCATTTCCACCCCTTCCAGAAGTAAATGACCCCAGACAAATTTATTCTCCTCACCACTGAATCAATTACAGATGTACAAATCTCAATTTGTATTTACAATTATATCGACTAAAAAAATTACTCAAAACACGCGCCCACAATTCCCCTAAAAACCCCCCAATTACGTCTTCCTCGGTTTAGTCTTCCTCTTATTGATATTCATGATCTGCTCCACAATAATGTCATCAGTCCTGGGATCAATGGGAATGCTCTGAGCGACTGGACTCCTCTGCACAGGTCCGGCCTTCGACCACTGTTCAACCCTGACATTCAACCAGCTCCACAACTTCTCCCTATTCAAGAACGCAATAGCCACGATCATGATAAAAGGCAGAGCAATCATGGAACTCTGGTTCATCTCCCCATGATCCATTCTCCGTTCAGCCTTGAAACTCAAAGTCAACGCCTTGAACGAGGTATTCGCTTCGAAATAACTCGGAATGACTTTGTATTTGTAAAGAGCAGGCGAGAGAGAAGACTCCAGCTGCACGAAATATTTCTTTCCATTGGATTGCAGAGGAGGAAAGTGCATCAAGAACCCAGGATTGCTGTAACTATTAAATTTACTAGCCTGTTGCGGATCGATCCTAACCGAATGAATGGGTGAATCAGGCTGGTCCTCCCTGCACAGTTTCACTTTCAATCCCTTATAGTGTTCAACCTGATCAGCAACCACATGAACAGACACATCAGTCCTAGGGATGGGATGAAATGCGATAAACCTCAGTCCCTCAATATCCCTATCAACAACCTCAACATCAATCCCCTCAGGAGATGCTCTGTACACCCTCGAATTAGTCTGGAACTCATTGTCCTTCAGCTTGACAACATAATGACAACCTGGCTCGAGTCCTCTTATCCTGAATCTGCCACTCTCCTCAGTCGTAGCTTCCTCCTGCAGAGAATCACAAGAGCTCGATGGGGAATTCTTGGGACTGCCAGACCCCCCTTGGGCCTCGACAATCAGCCCAGGCTCAGGCTCTCCATTCAACGAAGTCACCATTCCATGAGCACTGAAGGCAACTCTCTTAGCCATCAGCTTAATCTGCTCAGTAGCACCCTCAGACACTTTAATTATCTTCGATGGGGGATCGAACCTGTACTCCTTCATCATAGCTCGAAGGTAGTACTCCCCAGAGGACAAAGAATTGAACACCAATCGTCCTTCATTACCAGTCATACTGTTCTTCCTGTAGCCCCCCTGTCCACCAGATAACGACAGCAAAACCCCTTGAAGAGGCAACTCGTCTGCCTGATCGACAACGTCGACCACCACTTCAGCAAGCTTCTCCGCATAGAAGACCCCATCGGCGTCACGATGTTGGGTTATCGAAAAACCCGACTTTTCAGCTGTCACCGTGTACTCCATGCTTCCATCCAGAGGACCAATCCTGTAATTGCCGTCCTGTTGAGTTACCAAAGTGTGCACAGGTGCCTCCTTGTCCTTTCCGAATATTTTAATCGTCACCCCTTCGAGAGCGGGCGATATCTTGCCCTCGATGATCCTCCCGACTTGTCCGTTGAAGGTAGCTGCCTCGTTGTTACAGTCATTAGTCCCTGTGATCTTCAGCGACGGAGGGGAAAACAGAATTATATCGGACTGGGGGGTGATCACGTAAGTTGTATCAACATTCGCATTGAACTCGAAGACGTATTGATAACTGTCCTTCGTTCTCGAGAACTTCACTGGTGAGTGAATGGTCTTCTCGCCAGCCTCGATCTTCACTTTAATGTCGACTTCGCCTACCTCGGACGACGACGAAGGAACGACGATTTTACCCCTGTGCCTGTGTTCATTGGACGTGAGGATTATTGGACTCTGGTTTGTCGTGTCCCAGGTGTAAAACTCTTTAGCATAAACGTGACAGCTCTTGGGGATGAACTTGTAGATTCCTGGACTTGAGACGCAGTGTCTGGTGCTGCCCATGGGCAGAGTGAGGGCTATTTTTTTGGACTTTCCAGGGTCGAAGAACTCCACTGCTGAGTCGTGGGAGGAGATGAAGGTGACTGTGAACCCGGTTTGTTTGAATGGTGGAACTGTTGCTTTCTCGGATGTCACGGAGATCTGTTGCGTGGGACTCTCCCAGCAGAAGACGTCGGTGTCGATGAGGACCTCGTAGTGACCTGGAAGGACTTCACTGAACTCGTAATTTCCGTTCTGCGCTTGGATTGTCTTTACTGTGAGTCCATCTAGGACTTTAAGGGTGACGAAGGCTTGGTTGCAACTCGACTCTGTACTCAGGCATTTGATGGAGCCTGATAAGGTCGCTTTAAGTTGAAGGAAGTTGACGTTGTTGATGGGTTTGCCAGAGACATCGATCGTCTGCTGCAGTGGGAAAAACTGGAGTCCTTTGGTTTTCTCCTCAGTATTAACTTCAACACTAAATTGATACTTTCCTGGGGGTAAGTAGAGGCAGTAGTCACCGGTCTTGGGGTTTGTATCGATCTCCCTGTGGAACGTAGCTGCTGCATTTTCGATGATCACTTTACGATGATGGAGAGTCCCTTTAGCTGATAGCGTGACTGTTCCACATACTTTGTAGAAACTTGGAGAGGAAGTTGGAAGTTCTGGGGAGCTTGCAGAGATTTTGACGTTCACTTCGTCGAACTTAACGTCAGGTGCTTCTATCTTCAGAGAATATTGACCTGTCTTCATTTTATCGATTGAATAATGGCCATTTTTGTCGGTCGTAGCAACTTGCTTTCCAGAGATGAAGACTTTCGCATTTGGAAGGGGGATTTTGTCTTTTGAGGGTGATAGAAGGACTATTCCACTGACTGTGAAACCAGTTACCCTGAAGTCTTGGGGGAGAGCCACGCTGTCGTGGTCAACGGTGAAGGTCAGCTCAGCAGGTTGAACGTGGAATTTTGTCTGGGGAGCGGAGTAATGAGGGATCAGGCGGTAGTTACCGTTGGTTAGAGCTGGAAATGTGAATTTTCCTGAGGGGTCTGATTTAACGTAACAGAGGGGCTCTACCCACTTGGGGTCGCTTGATATTTCCATTGATTGGGGGACTGTTGTGCAGTCTTCGACGGCACCCGCTCCGAAGAGGACGAAGGAGACCCCTGAGACTGGTTGATTGTCTTCACTCATGACTCGACCATTCACGTCGTACCCGAAGACGGTTAGACTGTTGTCAGGGAGTTCAGTGTTTCCCTCCGTAACGGTCACTTCTACCGTGTTCTTCTCCATCCTCCAGACAGGATGGGAGGCAACTAGAGTGTACTTTCCAGGTTGAATTGGGGTGAAGGAGAATACTCCCCCCTTGGAGGTGGTCGTGGTGCCAATCGAGTTTTCATTGTGGATTTTGTTCTTGTAGAGGACCACGGTCACTCCTGCTGGGCCCTGGGACTGAGGGCTTGATTGGGAGCTTGTAACCCTCCCGGCTATCCCGAAACCCTTGAACGTGAAGTTTATGTCTTTACCTTGACTACAAATGTCCGTGCTACCATCCACATCGAGGGAAATCTCTGTGGGTTCGAAACTCCAGCCTCGAGGTGGGACAACCTGATTAGAGATATTGGGTTAGAGTAAGTGGATTGCGAGGGGCCTTGAATGGCTGCCCAGACAGCAAAACTCGACAATTTGCCGCAATTTATCGGCAAAATAGCCTTCTTTATGGCAAACTTTCGGATCACTGTTTACTGGGTGTGCGTGGAAATTACCTTGAGGATGTACTCCCCCTTGTCGTACAGGGGGAGAAAGTAGTAACCATTGTTCGGGGCACATTCTGTTTGGTCCTTCAAACTTCCGGATTTTGTGTAGCTTTTTTTTAAAGAAATCATTTAATAAATGAGTGAATGTATATGTAAAAAATGAATGAGAATTTAAAATCCTCTATTTTGATTTTAATAGTGAGTTCAGAAATGACAAATTTTACAGATTTTCATTGAATATTATTGAATTGAAAACTTTTTAATATCATTAATCTCAGTTGCAATTTTTTTTACAAATCAGTGAATGTATATTTTCAAAAAATAGAAGAGTTCCACTAGAAAATTTTCGAGTTAATGTATGTTTCGTTATTTGGAATGATTCAAATGACATGTACTAATTTTGAGGTAAAAATGATAATTGAGAGGCTCGATTGCGTGTCCAAAGATGACAGGACGTCATCTACTTAAATAATTCTTTTTTTTTCATATGAGTAATCATTTCGGAGTGTCATGACATAGGAGGGGCATTGAACTCCTGTGAATTTTAAACAAACTCCGAAATAAGACTACACTTACAGTTTTATGTGAACTTTCGAGTAATCGATGCTCGCGTGACTCTTGATGAACCCACCACAGCCCAAAATCTCATCAGCAACGAGTCCCTGAATTACTGAGAGGGCTGTAGTGATGGAAACGATGAAACTTGCATACACTGTCATTTTTGCGATCTATCTAAGCAGAAGGACTCAACATAATCCACTTTTTTCTAACTTATCGTTCAAAATTGAAAATAAAGAATGGCTGAATGAATTGGACTTATGTCGCCTACTCCCTAACCTCCAACGGTCACAACCCTACCTTCCCAGCGCTCCAAACGTTACTGGATTGAACCAAGAAGGCTAATAAAGTCTACTGAATATCTAGAAATTGATAGTGAAGTAGATCTAGAGGTGCGAATGCCCGTCTTTTTTGAATCATACTTGATACTTCCCATAAATTTATCATATTTCCCATGCAAAATACAGTAAATGTGTAGATTATGACCTTTCATTGAATTACCGTATTTTAATTCTCATCCTGCAAATTGATTCTCTCAGTGACCGAGATGGAATTCCCAAAACTCTAACCACACGGATGCAACCACACTTAGCATTACCCAGGAGTCACGGCGAGGACGTGGTGGTGCGATGACTCCCAAACGAGAAGAACCTAAAAACGCCGACACCCTACGAAATGAGGATTTTTTTTCTTGCCGAAAAGTACCTCGGTCGCACATCATGCGACAAACACCTATGTCATATTGTATTCTTGACAAGAATCATGACATCTTCATGGAAATATTATGAAGAACTCCACGCCTCACAGTCAGAATTCTGTGAATCATCAATTCGATGAATTGTCACTGACCGGGAAAATATTTATTTTGTTCAAATAGTAGAAAAATTGACCTGTCAACTGAGACGAATACTATTTTTATTCCCGTCAAAACCACTCCTATGCTGCGGGGTACATTCTCCAGTGAACCGAGAACACTCCCTAATCCATACTATTGATAATTCCCTCAAAACTCCTCATCAATCGAGAACTAGGTTCTTCGACAAGGCTACTTGAAAATTCCCTCAAAAGAACTCCCTATTGCGGGGGAGGGAATCACTCCCTGATCCATATTATTGACAACGAGATCGGCCGCGCGTGCTGGGCACGCGCCTTCTCATCTCCTCACGTAGTAGCGCTTCGGTTTCAGCTTACGTTTACGCTTATTCGAGATTTTCGAAATATTTTGGGATCGATTTCTTTTTTCCTTTTTACGATAGGATACTTTTGAGTTCTGAATAGCCCGTCGCTTAAATAGTTGGAATCAACGTTCAGTCTGCTAAAAAATTCAATTATGGCGAAAGCCGACTTTCCCCCTGGAAAAACGGAAAATCTGACCCTGTGAAAATCTGAAAAAAAGAACCTTTTTCAGTTTTCATTTTTTCCACATACTTTTGAGAGTTTTGAATAGCCCGTCGCTCAACTAGTTAGAATCAACGTTCACCCGGCTAAAAAAATTCGATTTTGGCGAAAGTCGACTTTCCCACTGGAAAAATCGAAAATTGGACCTTTGGCTCGCGGTGAAAAAAAACTTCTTCAGTTTTCACTTTTCTCGGAACAAAATTAATTCGAATAAACGATTTTTCTCCTCTGAGGTTCTGCGGCGGGGCTAGTTAATCGCTCGCGGACAGGAATATTGCAGATATTCTTCACTGACAACTCCCTGTTGCGTGGGACAAACTTTCCATCGGACCGAGAGAACTATTTCAAGAGCATTGATTTATTTGAACTGAACCAAATTAATTCGAATAAACGATGTTTCTCCTCTGAGGTTCTGCGGCGGGGCTAGTTAATCGCTCGCGGACAGGAATATTGCAGATATTCTTCACTGACAACTCCCTGTTGCGTGGGACAAACTTTCCATCGGACCGAGAGAACTATTTCAAGAGCATTGATTTATTTGAACTGAACCAAATTAATTCGAATAAACGATGTTTCTCCTCTGAGGTTCTGCGGCGGGGCTAGTTAATCGCTCGCGGACAGGAATATTGCAGATATTCTTCACTGACAACTCCCTGTTGCGTGGGACAAACTTTCCATCGGACCGAGAGAACTATTTCAAGAGCATTGATTTATTTGAACTGAACCAAATTAATTCGAATAAACGATGTTTCTCCTCTGAGGTTCTGCGGCGGGGCTAGTTAATCGCTCGCGGACAGGAATATTGCAGATATTCTTCACTGACAACTCCCTGTTGCGTGGGACAAACTTTCCATCGGACCGAGAGAACTATTTCAAGAGCATTGATTTATTTGAACTGAACCAAATTAATTCGAATAAACGATGTTTCTCCTCTGAGGTTCTGCGGCGGGGCTAGTTAATCGCTCGCGGACAGGAATATTGCAGATATTCTTCACTGACAACTCCCTGTTGCGTGGGACAAACTTTCCATCGGACCGAGAGAACTATTTCAAGAGCATTGATTTATTTGAACTGAACCAAATTAATTCGAATAAACGATGTTTCTCCTCTGAGGTTCTGCGGCGGGGCTAGTTAATCGCTCGCGGACAGGAATATTGCAGATATTCTTCACTGACAACTCCCTGTTGCGTGGGACAAACTTTCCATCGGACCGAGAGAACTATTTCAAGAGCATTGATTTATTTGAACTGAACCAAATTAATTCGAATAAACGATGTTTCTCCTCTGAGGTTCTGCGGCGGGGCTAGTTAATCGCTCGCGGACAGGAATATTGCAGATATTCTTCACTGACAACTCCCTGTTGCGTGGGACAAACTTTCCATCGGACCGAGAGAACTATTTCAAGAGCATTGATTTATTTGAACTGAACCAAATTAATTCGAATAAACGATGTTTCTCCTCTGAGGTTCTGCGGCGGGGCTAGTTAATCGCTCGCGGACAGGAATATTGCAGATATTCTTCACTGACAACTCCCTGTTGCGTGGGACAAACTTTCCATCGGACCGAGAGAACTATTTCAAGAGCATTGATTTATTTGAACTGAACCAAATTAATTCGAATAAACGATGTTTCTCCTCTGAGGTTCTGCGGCGGGGCTAGTTAATCGCTCGCGGACAGGAATATTGCAGATATTCTTCACTGACAACTCCCTGTTGCGTGGGACAAACTTTCCATCGGACCGAGAGAACTATTTCAAGAGCATTGATTTATTTGAACTGAACCAAATTAATTCGAATAAACGATGTTTCTCCTCTGAGGTTCTGCGGCGGGGCTAGTTAATCGCTCGCGGACAGGAATATTGCAGATATTCTTCACTGACAACTCCCTGTTGCGTGGGACAAACTTTCCATCGGACCGAGAGAACTATTTCAAGAGCATTGATTTATTTGAACTGAACCAAATTAATTCGAATAAACGATGTTTCTCCTCTGAGGTTCTGCGGCGGGGCTAGTTAATCGCTCGCGGACAGGAATATTGCAGATATTCTTCACTGACAACTCCCTGTTGCGTGGGACAAACTTTCCATCGGACCGAGAGAACTATTTCAAGAGCATTGATTTATTTGAACTGAACCAAATTAATTCGAATAAACGATGTTTCTCCTCTGAGGTTCTGCGGCGGGGCTAGTTAATCGCTCGCGGACAGGAATATTGCAGATATTCTTCACTGACAACTCCCTGTTGCGTGGGACAAACTTTCCATCGGACCGAGAGAACTATTTCAAGAGCATTGATTTATTTGAACTGAACCAAATTAATTCGAATAAACGATGTTTCTCCTCTGAGGTTCTGCGGCGGGGCTAGTTAATCGCTCGCGGACAGGAATATTGCAGATATTCTTCACTGACAACTCCCTGTTGCGTGGGACAAACTTTCCATCGGACCGAGAGAACTATTTCAAGAGCATTGATTTATTTGAACTGAACCAAATTAATTCGAATAAACGATGTTTCTCCTCTGAGGTTCTGCGGCGGGGCTAGTTAATCGCTCGCGGACAGGAATATTGCAGATATTCTTCACTGACAACTCCCTGTTGCGTGGGACAAACTTTCCATCGGACCGAGAGAACTATTTCAAGAGCATTGATTTATTTGAACTGAACCAAATTAATTCGAATAAACGATGTTTCTCCTCTGAGGTTCTGCGGCGGGGCTAGTTAATCGCTCGCGGACAGGAATATTGCAGATATTCTTCACTGACAACTCCCTGTTGCGTGGGACAAACTTTCCATCGGACCGAGAGAACTATTTCAAGAGCATTGATTTATTTGAACTGAACCAAATTAATTCGAATAAACGATGTTTCTCCTCTGAGGTTCTGCGGCGGGGCTAGTTAATCGCTCGCGGACAGGAATATTGCAGATATTCTTCACTGACAACTCCCTGTTGCGTGGGACAAACTTTCCATCGGACCGAGAGAACTATTTCAAGAGCATTGATTTATTTGAACTGAACCAAATTAATTCGAATAAACGATGTTTCTCCTCTGAGGTTCTGCGGCGGGGCTAGTTAATCGCTCGCGGACAGGAATATTGCAGATATTCTTCACTGACAACTCCCTGTTGCGTGGGACAAACTTTCCATCGGACCGAGAGAACTATTTCAAGAGCATTGATTTATTTGAACTGAACCAAATTAATTCGAATAAACGATGTTTCTCCTCTGAGGTTCTGCGGCGGGGCTAGTTAATCGCTCGCGGACAGGAATATTGCAGATATTCTTCACTGACAACTCCCTGTTGCGTGGGACAAACTTTCCATCGGACCGAGAGAACTATTTCAAGAGCATTGATTTATTTGAACTGAACCAAATTAATTCGAATAAACGATGTTTCTCCTCTGAGGTTCTGCGGCGGGGCTAGTTAATCGCTCGCGGACAGGAATATTGCAGATATTCTTCACTGACAACTCCCTGTTGCGTGGGACAAACTTTCCATCGGACCGAGAGAACTATTTCAAGAGCATTGATTTATTTGAACTGAACCAAATTAATTCGAATAAACGATGTTTCTCCTCTGAGGTTCTGCGGCGGGGCTAGTTAATCGCTCGCGGACAGGAATATTGCAGATATTCTTCACTGACAACTCCCTGTTGCGTGGGACAAACTTTCCATCGGACCGAGAGAACTATTTCAAGAGCATTGATTTATTTGAACTGAACCAAATTAATTCGAATAAACGATGTTTCTCCTCTGAGGTTCTGCGGCGGGGCTAGTTAACCCCTCGCGGACAGGAATATTGCAGATATTCTTTACCGACAACTCCCTGTTGCGTGGGACAAACCTTCCATCGGACCGAGAGAACTATTTCAAGAGCATTGATTTATTTGAACTGAACAAAATTAATTCGAAT